GGGAGAGAGAATCACGGCAAATGGCAAGGACAAACCACAACTAAAACCATATAAATGTCGTGAGGCAGCTTTCAGCAATTAATTATCCGCAAACTTTTCAATTACAAGCCAATTACGCCCGGCCATCAGCCAATTGAGAAAATACACGCGCGTTTTAGCTAACAGTGGACACCTTAAAAGCCATACACAATACTTATAATTTAATAGAAATAATTAAAAACACATTGATTATGATTGCTTAATTGGAAAGAGAAAACAAAGTTATCGCTGAATGCTAAAAATGTTTCTTTAAAACAATTTAAAGGAACTTAACAGTTTTTGAAGTAATTATCCTAAACCGATTTAAACCTTTGTATTACCTAATCAGCTCCCTAAACTAAGTTAAGAACACATATCATAACCCTCAAAAACCACTTAAACTTTACCATAAACATAAATATATCCTTCCAACACTAAACATGACAGAAAACCCCACACGTTATTGTCAGCTTCTCAAACTATTCATGCGTCATTAGCTCATCAATTTATATGCATGTAAGGGTGTTCCCCTCAGTATTCACTGTACTGCCAATGACACGTACAGCAGCATTAAATGACATTTTATTGAGCAGCATCGACAACGTTTCCTTTTGCCATTCGCACATGCCGCACCCGTAATGCCACCTGGCCACCCTGGAAAATCCATCGAAGCCCCTTCCAGGCCATCAGTTTACCTTTTTGATGGAGTTGTCAACTGTCAGGCGGAACGAATCGTTGTGCCGATGACACGTTTTGCCAGCGCATCATGCAACCTTGATGACGCCAAAATGAATGCGTCCTGCCATAACGGAAATGGAACAAAAACCCACCCAAGTGGGTGTGGATGTGATAGTGGATAGTGGATAGAGGATGGAAATGGGTGGTTGGGCTAGAAACATTCGCAAATGGCTGACAAATATGGCGCCGCAGCAGCAACAATTGAAACTGTTTTTGTTCAAATTTGCAGACAGACACTAACACAGGTGGAAATTGGAGGTTGCATGTTGAGGGGGTTGAGGGTGGCTGGTTGTGAAACTGCGACAAGTGCGAAAGGATATTGGTTTTTGGGCAAAGCGGTTTATTGACATTTTCAATGCGTTCACAGCACTTAATTAAGGTGTAATTTTCAATATTGAACGCGTGGTAGACAAAGCAAAGTTTTTCCAATGGTTTTTCGCAAAGATAAAAACGAATAAAGGATGTGGGTTGTTGGTATTGCTTTTAGCAAAATGAAGGGATATTTTTGGGTTAAAAGAGGGAAAATTGCTTACTAGTTCTTCTATTAAACATACAAATCTAACCTTTAATAATCACTAGGCTTATTTCCAGTACATGAACTAAATTAATAATACAGTCTAGACGTAGAAGCACTCGATCAAGTCCTTGTCAAAGGAAAATCACTAAAAGCAGTGGGCCCAGGATTTCCCCATTCATAATTTTCCACTTGTCATGACCCATACCACAAAATCGTTTAGCGCACAAAGTGGAGCAATGACTTGTTCATTGTTAGACTCAGCTGAACCCGACGGAGGGAAAATGCCAAAAGACCTGTAGGATATGGCATGCCTATCCATACAAAATAATAACCACGAAAATAAAAAAATCGACAAATTGAATTCACTTATGTCATACAAAGAGGGTGGGCTACTACTCGGGTCATGATAGTGAATTATTCAGAACCAATTGACAAACGCTTGGCTGGGTTAAATTATTCCTAGAACAATTAAGTGGAAAACAAACTGCATATTTGACATCTGATTGGTTTCGTGCCCGACTTTTAATAGGACATTGCCCAAGGAAAAGTTTTTTGGGCCTGAGTAAAAACTATTTCCAGCGCTTTACATTATTTATGAAACCCAAGCAAACCAAATACATGTCAGCCAGCCAGGCCAAAAGCCACGCAAAGCCAGAGCTTGAGTTGCCTTTCAGTGGTTACGCCTTAAATAGAACAAAAATCACTGGAAAAACTAGTTAAAACTTCAAAAACTTACAAAATTCTTTAAAAATGTTTAACAAAGTGTAAAGATGACACATTAAAAAGAAATTAAATCAAATTATATTTTTAAATGAAATTTATTAATCATATTTTCACTAAACTTCATTATTTTTCTCAGTGTAGTTGAGAAATGGATGCGCAAACGCATTGGGGCCAACCAAATGAGAGTGCAGACGTGTCGGATGGAAGTCCTTTGAGTGCTCAAGCTGCTCTTGGCCAATAAACTTGGCTCCTGCCTCAGCACATTTTGATTTAACTAAAATTAAAATCAGCTGCCTCCAATCCCCCGCCAGCCACTTACCCACACTTCGTACACTTTTCTCTCCGGCTGTCACTTAGTGCATGTCCTTGTGGACTAAGTGACCGTTTCCCTCACACATGCCAGTTCATATTATCCCGTCGCATTTATCTCGCATTGGCAATTGGATTTGTAATGTGACTAAAGCCAGACAAAACGACAGGATAACAAAGCAATGGCAATGGTCATTGAAAAGGACAATTGTGTGTGCGAGTCATGCATTTCGAAGCTGACGAACTGCTGACCCGAGAATGGGGTACAGTTGTGTTTGCGGGTGAGATCTGAGGGTTAAATAGGTTGAGGATTATCGAAAGGTTTCTAATATGTCGAAGTAAAAGGATGTGACCTTCTCAGTGGTCTCGTATTAAATGATTTTGCAATTGCTAACTGGATTTCAACTAGAGATTATATAGAAATTACATTAATATTTGAATGTAATATATAGCCTATATAATATCTAACCATCTAATTTTGAATCGAACAACCTATAACTTTCACCGAAATAGCTTTTATTTCTGAATTTCAATGTGCAAAAAAGGTTTGCCCAACAACTTCGCGTTGAACTGCCTTATCTACTCTAAATAGATTTCCCCCAGTTTGGGAAACGATTTATGGCAAACCATAGGCACACACTCGCACAAGCTTTCAAGGCGTTTAGTATATATCTATGCCTTTGCACCGAACTAGTACACATCATTACCATTACCGTTTCCCAGTCTAAACGCACTAGCCCAGTACTTGCAGACCGACTCGTACGAAATCCAAAAACGCAGAGTTTAATGCGTCGATGGTGAAGGTGATGCCGACACTTTCGTTTCTCTAGTTGGGCAAGGACAATGGAAATGCACACACACGGCAGGATAAGAATGCTAAGTTAACGGTTTTTAGGCTAACTATAAAATCTAAATCGGTTTCTAGGTTGTTAAGAACACATTGCCCTACTTCATTTAATTTAATCTTTAATCAATCCAAAGAGGATTGTCCTTCAACTACAACAGTTTTCAGTTACATTTATTTTAAGTTCCTATCAGCTTTTTTAATTTATAAATCTTTTTTACTTAGCCCCATTTCTTAGTCCTTATCCAAACTATATTGAGCAACACTAATCCGAGTCATGGCACCCAGAGCACCCAGTTTTATTGTCCGACTGACAGACTAACTGACTGACGAACGAACTAAAGCACAGACTGTTGAACTGGGGAACTGCGAAACTGACGCACTGACATCGCCGAACCGCACCCAAAGTGCTTGGCCTGGCAAGTGCATAGATAACAAACGAGTGCAAGGATAACGAGGCTACACGGCAAGGACTACGTTTACAGCTAGAACTACAACTACAAATGCGACTGTGGCTACGGAAATAACGCGAAAAATGGCGCAACAGTAAAGGCAATGGGGAAGACAGTGAAATATTGAAATACAATTGGTTTAGGATAAGATCACACACAACCCTATATCTTGTCTTGCCTCCCCAAAGACCAACACAGGATGGCACTTAAAGATGGCGGTAAAGGATGTGGGATAAGTGCCTTTCAGTTGGCTCGCATTTCGCTTTAAGTCCAGCCAGTTGATTTAAATGGGCTACATCAAATATTGAATAAGAGATTAGTTGTTCAAACCTTGTCATACTCTCAGTAAAATGAATGGCTTTAGTCTGAAGGAAAAAATCTAGGCTGAAATGAACATTAAGTAATGGATTAACATTATGAAAAGAAAATATAGAAAAATTCTGGTACCAAAAAAGATTTATAAATTATTTAAGTTAGTGATTATTCGTAGACTTCATTTGTATGGCAAAACATTTTCTTTAAGTGCAGTTTCAAGAGTCTAAAAAAGGGATAGTCGGCAGGTAGCTCCTCGAAGTACTTTACTCGCGACCTCGCCTTCGTCTAAGGTAGTTAAATTGCGCGTCAGTGTCAGCGGCAGAATTGAAATCCTTTTCCTCTGCAAGCACTCTGAACGCCTCCTGTCCTTTCCACCACCCCGGATTTTCCATACCCATGCCTCTGATACTTGGTCCTGCGTCAATCACGAACCGCTTTTCCCCCATTGAGTGGGACACGTTTTCATGGAACTTTTCCAGCTGCGCCGAAAACTTGTCCACAAACAAGTCGACACATGACACGTACTCGACTTGACTCCACTCGAAAGCAAAAGCATCGTCGTCTCGTCGACTGGGCCCTATGCCACCCAGCGTTTTTCGGTTGGACGGGGATTAGTTCTAGTTTTTGTCACTGTTTTAAAGTTTAAAGCTCTTTTGCGGCATATTTGCATATTAAGTGGCATGCGTTGAAAGTTCCCGGCTGCCTTCTGTTGTTAGTTTTGGCCTAAGCTTATGCCATAGCCAATCTCCGGCAAGGTAACTGCTTTTCGGGGCCCAACTCAAGGATCTCAAAAATCACTGCTGTCATTTCGGGGATTTTCCTATTTTGAGGTGTTTTCCAGGGCTTCCGCAAACATTGCAATGACATCCCGAGCTAAGCCCAACGAGCTGATAAGTCAAATTAGCATAGATGGATGAAAACATTTTGTCGCTTGTCGAGGATTTGTTTTGGCATTTACACATTTTACAATACGAGTACATTGCGAGGAACATTAAGGCAACTACAGTCACTTGACTTACAATACTTAGAGTGTGGGACCCATATGACACGGCAGAAAAGTGATAACTTAAATTAAACATCTCAAAACATGATTTGTGGTCTGCCAAAAAACAAGCTTAAATAATTGAAAATAAAGGTTTTCAAATTAATATCAGTCATTAGTTTAAAAAATACAAAAAATAAGAATTCAAATACAGAAAAAATATAAAAAATATAGAACATTATCTCTGTAAATTATTTCACAATATTTTTCGAATATTTGTAATCAAAAAAGTGAACTTTCTTCTATTAAATTTTAAATATAATATCGCCATGGAACTGGAAGTTCCACTAGCATCGTCAAGTTTTTCTTTTAACCTACTGTCATATGGGTCTAGCATTTATCACTTGTCAGCTAATACAAATCGGTTTAGATTAATACCCCTAGGCCACCACCCTCTATGAATCGATCCAATTGAAGGCTGTCCTGATAACAGCTTCCGCCGGAGTGGAACAACCGTTGACCACGCCCTCGACACATGCCTGTATTGTGACGCGGTAGTAGGTGTTCGGTTCCAATTGTGTGAGGTAGTAGTAGTGCTGATTACCAGGAACTTCGTTGCCATTCGGGATCTCTTCAACGACACATTTTTCCTCCATTTGCTGGCCCACCGATGCGTGCGAGTTCTGGCACTTGGGCAAGGCATGACGGATCTTGTACATACTCGGATTCACGTCCTGAATATCTCTCTGTTTCTTCTCGCTTTTCAGGCGGAATTTCTCAAATGTTATGGCGGCTAGTCTTTCTCTGATTTGGTTTGTCATCGGTGAACTTGTTGGCGGCGGAGTAGTGGGCTCTTCCTCTTTCTTGAACGATAGGAGGTGGTCATAGTTCACCACTCTTTCAAACTCCTTCCTTCGATAGTCATAATTTCGCCTAAAATATACTTTATAAGTTTTTTATTTACATTTATAATTTCATGACTTACGAAACAAAAACGAGATTGGGCAACGAATCTTCATAGGTGATTTGCTCCTTGTTGTAGTAATCCTCATCATCCGGCTGAGGTCCTGAATCGTAGGGTAACACATTAGCGCACTCGCAATCCGAGTCTTTAATTGTTGTCGTTTCTAGATTGCTATAGTTCTTGTCCTTTACATCCTTAGTAATATTGGCCTTCTCAGAGGTCACGAAATATTTTGTAATCACTCCGTTTGGACGAACAGGAGGCCACCAGTGGAGGAGCTTAAAGAAATAGAACAACATTATTCTAATTTCCTAGTTGGTTTCTATTTATGAGACTCACAATCTGTGAACTGATTTCCGAGCTACCATATATCCTAACCACAGGACTTGGCTTATCAGGCAACGTTTGGAAGTAGCCAATTTTCGAGTAGGCATCTACCTGTATATGGTATTCGGTTCTGGTGATGGTCTTAACAAAATATGCGTACTGTGTATAAGGCTTCAGGCCAGTTATCAGATGACGACGACTCTTGTTAATCGCAACATCCATCAGCCAGCTGGAAAATAAGCATGGAAAATATTATAAATCAAAACGAAATGCGATGGCCTCCACACCACTCACTTGTCATGACCGCAACCATGCCGACCATCGTACATGGTCACGTTTTGCAATGGGGCTTCCTTGTAGAAATACGTATATCCTAACAGCGTTTCCATGCCATCCCAGTCCATATAGTCCAGGATAATGCGAACCGCAGTGGAATTTAAATCCTCCACTTTGGGATTGAGGGATCGGGCTCGGTCACTACAAATCACGCGTTCACCATTCGAATTTGGAGATACATCTGCCACAGATATGTTCTCACCACTTTTAAGTGAACTCTGCAACTGATGAATTTTATCATAGCACAGGCGGGGATTCAGATGGAAGAAGAGTGCACCACGCTGAATGATCACCTGATGATTCACAGGCCAGATGTGTTCCAGGTGGTAATTGTTGACCACATAGAGAGCGTATCTAAAAAGTTTATTTATATTTAAAGATTTGTATTATCATATACTTAAACTCACTTGTTTTCCACCAGCTTATCCCCTCTGATGGCATCTAAGTTTTGCAGGAATGAGAGCGACATCAGCTGGGCAGAGTGTATGACTTTCAAATAGCCAGTGATCTCCTTGACACTAACCAAAGCATTTTCCAAAACGTCTACAATTTTCTCTGCATAGGAAATATGAAAAATTACCAATTAATCTTTCAGATATTTAAAAACTTACCCTTGATATTAGTCAGTTCAATGATCAACGAGCCATTGATAGTCACACAGTCCTGCAAAACGTCTAGATCCGCAGCACTCCTGATATGAAAATCACCCTTGCACTCCACCTGGCAATGAACATGGCCTTTGGTGTCTATGACTTCCTTTTGATTTCCCGGACACTTTTTCACACACTGATAGCCACGTATCAAGGGTATTCTTCCCAACTCCCGACATTCTCTGTAGCCGATGCACCTGTTCTTATTGATTTCATAACTGGCGATACACTGATTCACACAACCCAATCTTCCCTGGAAATTGGCACAGAGAGAGCAGTTCTGGGTATAACAACCGGTGACGCAATTGTGATCACAACATTTTCCGCCATTATCGCAACCATTTAGTCCACAATTCACTGGGCAGTCTGCCATTCGTGATGGTTGAGGACGTAGCTGGGTTGTGTTCAGATTCCAGCAGCGCTCCGAGGAGTTGTTACCAAAGTCATAGTCCGCTGTCAAGCCGCCACACAAAGGACATTGGCTCTGCGGCCTGTTATGCTATAGGAAAAAACAGAAACTTAATAAAGTCACTTTAACTTTAAGGAAAACTAATCACTCTGAGGGAAAAGTGCTGTTGAGTTGCATTGCCCATTAGGTACATCCAGTCAACAGTTTCCACGAAGCATAACGTGGGATTCGATTCGATGCGAATGAAACCCTTTTGGATGCGCAACAGCTCCACGAGACCCAGTTCCCTGAGATTCCGATTCTCGTAGACAACCAGGGCGTACTGATCGAACAGAAGGTTTTGACCCCGAATGATCCGTAATTTGGGAAAGATGGACTGGAGTGTGATAAGACCGGCACAGCGATAGACCATTAAGTAATCGCTAATCTCAGTAATATTGGTGGCCAGTGAATCGAGACTATAGTTGCCGGCTGACAGATCCAAATAGGCCAATCTTATGTGACCCACCACGTGCGTACAGTTTTGAAATTTGCGGAAATCTGCAATCTCATTTATTTCCAGTGATTCGCAGGCGATAGGGTCATTGGATCTGGCTAAAACCGGCGCTGCGGCTACGAAAATTAGGAACAGCAACGGGATCGGGAGCAGATGCCCCATGCTGCCTATGCTGCCACCTGACACTTCCAATTGAGAGCACTTGACCCGGGCGTTAAGGCGGGTTTCTCGATCAATTAGCGCGCGCCCGCTTGAATGTCAATGTCGTATTTTTCTCGCTCAATCTCCCTCGAGAGGAATCACTTAATATATATATTTGTTTATTAATTCTTTTGATATTGATATTTTTCCGCTTTTTTAGAAGAGTTGCTTTCCCGGCAGCGGTTCGATTTGGACTGATGCCATTGGAACGGCGTTCTCTGCCTTCGATCTCTTCAATTAGCCTCTTGTTTCGGACTTCACATTGTTTTGTTTTGTTTTGCTTCGCACTGTTATTTCTTTTTTATGCGCTCGTCTTCGTTTTCTAAACCCTTTGATTACACCAGCGGAAAAAGTTAAGACTTCGGGTGTTTATGTAGCTAACTAATATTAAGATTACGAATGATACTTTTTTAATATTTTTAATTTTATTATTTTAAAAGCTTCAATTTAAAACACTTTTAACACTTTAATTTTTCTTAAGATATTAAATTTTTATATTAATTTTCTTTTTAAATATATTTTATGGATTATTTTCAAAAATAAAAAATATATATGTGAAAAATTTTTAAATAGTAATATTTTTCAAAGCTTTATCTTTCTATGATATCTACACTTTTTTCACCTGGTGTATACAAACGTCTTGAGATTGGAGAGCAAAGGCGGTGGCTGTGCTGAGAGAATAATAATGTTTTCGGTGGGAAGAGCTCGCGCGATATTTACGTTAATAAATATAAACATTTATGGACATTCTAAAATTTTATACATGCCGCTTTGCAGTTTGTTTTTAATTGATCATTCTGAGTAAAATGAAAAATCCCATACGGCTTCTTAGTACCTTAAAAAGAGATAATAAGTACTCCCAATCAAATGTTAATACATTTAATACGTCTTTCTATTGCAATTTGATTTATAGAGATTAATAGATTTTAGTATTGCCAGCAAGAAGTTTGCCTCCAAGACCTACTAATTAAATTATAACAAAAACCAAACCCTTTTTTTAAATTTTTAATACGCCTCTGTTGCATTTTGTTGGTGCGATCATTTCACGCATCTGTTACCTTTCACGTTTTTCTCAATGCCTCTTCCTTTTTGCCGGCAGACCAAAAACACTTGTTACTTCAGCATCCGCAAATGCCACCTGCCCCCCGGCCACGCCCATCCTTTCCTTTCCCCCTGTGACCTTGCAACAATCTGCAAAACCGGTTCAGACTTACCCTTTTTTACCCCCCGAGTGCATGCTTTTGTTTTTGCCTTTTGCGCAGAAATTAAATTGCACCGGCGAACAATTCAATTAGAGTGAAGGCAAAAAAAAGAAAAGAAAAATCTGCGAAAATAAGAACGAGGAAAAAAAGTGAAAAACCAAAGCTAAAATCCAATTGGAGGAGTAGTGAACAGTGAACATCGCACAATTGGCAGTTCATTAAAGTGCAAGTAACGCTGGCGAAGCTCAATTGGAAACGGGAAAATTTTCTAAATTTAGCTAGATGCAAATTGAATAAAAACAACTAAGCTCCAACCATTTTGTAAATAAAATAATTTAAATAAAATATTCCACTATATTATTTTGTATTTATTTCAGTTTATAATCGTAATTTAAGCCCAATTATTATGTGCACAAAATGTTGTTGGCGTATTTTCGATATTTTTAATGACCTGCAAAACGTGGGTGATTATTCAAATGTTTTGCTGAATTTGATGTTGCATTTTATCGTGCAGGTAACATAATAGTGCACCACATTATTATTGCGTAAAATTATTAATTATGAAATAAATAATTGATTTAGTATTATCTAAGCCTACATATTTTGTTAAATTTGAAAAATTGGGAAAAATATACAAATAATTTTTTTGTAGTTTTGTAGTATATATAAAAATATTTATTAAATTGCCAACATAACTAGTTTTTATGCAGAGCATTACATAGTTTTTTTGATTTTAGTTTTCCACAAAACAAAAATCATAAACTGCATAAATTTTAACGAACGTAAAATGCACAAATTCACACAAAAACACCAACTGCACTAGAGAAAAAAATCGCAGTAAACGTGTGAAAAAGCCGCACAGGCATAACTATCAATGATTTTTTCGTTAGCTGATGCTCGCTTTTTTTTTTTCATCATGCCACCCGGCTGTGAATCAATTTTCGCAGTAATTTGTAGAGCCTGCGCTGATGTGTTCCGCGCGGAATTTAATGCAGCATCCTTTCCGGCAGCACGTCAAACTATGAACATTGAGCACACACCCACACCAACCAGCAGGGAAAACCCACACAACCAGAGGCGCCAATTATTGAATATGCCGAGGGTACAGTGGCGCCGGTAAAGGGAGCTTAGGGGGCCGATAGGTAGGCAAAGGGACTTACAGTGTTGATAATCTAGCCATTTCTTTTCAAAAATATAAAAAAAATATATATCTATCATCATCAATCACAATATCAAAAGTTTTTATAAAAAACAAAGACATTTTTTTCGATAATTTTTTAATTTTTATGTTTGAAATGCTTGTTATGGGTAAACCATAAAAAGAGCATATAAATTAATTTATTCTCTGTTTGAGCTACATTTTTCATACATTGCTAGCCAGCACTGATCCGCTTAATTCGCACGGGAGTTGGAAGATGGTGATGAGGCAGAGGAGTCAAGTCACTGGAGTATCGGAGGCGGCAAACACGTAACGCCATTTTGCGGCGCGTGATAGGAATCGCTACCGAGGACGTGTGCATATGCCTACCCAGAAGCTGGTAAATGCGGGCAAAAATCGGGAAGATCTAACGCGATGGAAAATGCGATGGGTGGGCGGCAGGGAAAACTTGGACATAAGTCAGGCCGTGAGTCAGCGGCCCACGCACGTCCTTGCATTTAAGTGCCAAATTAGGAGGATGCCTTGGCCAGCAGATCCAAACCAATGGCTGCCTTGCACATGGCTGTCGGTCATAAATCAAATGGTCGATGCAATTTATGGCCCTGCCAATTCAATGAGCCACTACCAATGCCGTTGCTGCCACTGCTTCTGCTATCTCATCATGACCTATTATTATTATTATTGCTGTTATTATGGATCCTGGCTTGAGCCGAAGGAATTAATTAAGTTTGCTGAAAAATGCAATCCAGCAAATAGACAATGGCAGCAGCTGTTCCTTCAGTCTTTCTTCTGGGGATCCTTAAGTCTTGGTCCAGTCCTGGAGCTGTTGGAGCCTGATTGATGTGGCACCTCGCAGCAGCTGACAGGATATTCAACCCTTCTGGCTGATGCAATTTGACACATGACAAAGCAGCGTGTAAAGCAGCTCCAAAACGTCTAAAATTTGGACATAGCACTGGCCCAACAAGTTTCCAAGACCATGGCTGGCATTTCCCCTTAATGGAAGAAAAATATATTCAAAATGTTAGGCAATCATCAAAAATTGTTCAAACTGAGAGCTGCTAAAAATGTTTAAAAGCTCTTTGCATTTAAACTAGTGAAACCATCACTTAATTTTCTGCCACTCTTAATAAAATGGCATTGCTCTTCATTTGCACGTGCACTTTGCAAGCCGCACTTCAGCCATATTTACTACAATTCAAAAGCTGATTTTAATCAACCAAGTAACAAACCTCATTCAACTTAATTGTTTTAAAGTAGAGCTCAATTAAAATTCGAAAGAAGGGCCCTAAAAATGCAAACAAAATGAAATGCTACTGCACTTAATGCAAACAAAATCAATAGCACTCAAATTAAAAAGGTTTCAAATAAAGAATAGCCCAAAATAGCAATTATTTGTAAATGAAGTGAAATTTAGGTGAACCATTAAAGTATTCTTTCCCCTTCGTTAGACAGATCGATTGATTCTAGAAAGTGTGAAAAACATTCAGGAAAACTTTAACCATTGACGACGAATCGAAGTATTGATGAGCAGTAAAAGATTTAAAGATTATCTAATTGGCCAAAACTTGTTAAAGTTTACTTTGCACTCTCTACTAGGCAAGTATTAGATTGCATCTGAAAGTTTCTCTTTGCCGGACAAAATAAAGCTACAGTTTGTCGACTTTTCCATTCATGAGCACAAGTTGTTGATCATTAAAAGAGTTTACTTATATTACATAAAAATTCAACTTGGTATAGTTTCCATTACAATGGGCACTTGACTTTTTCAAATGCTAAAAGTCCTTGATTACATAAACCACTCTTTCAGACATAAACTTCACTCTTAATCAAAATGTTCCATTGTTAGCCAATGGCGTTGCCAAAGCATCTGGTAAAAAGCGTTTCATATTTTACGGCTCACCTCATAAAGCCAAAAGGTTGACTGGCAGAAAGTCAGGACGGAAAGTGCCCTTAGTTACAAGGATATGGGCAACCTTTATGCCACTTGCATTACGCATACGCCCTGTCGTCGCCGAGATCTTCAAGTTTATGCTAAAAAGTCGCACACACACACACACACATAGAGAAGAAGTCGACTCGGCATTTGCCCCCTTGCATTTCTCCATTTTTATTTCAATATCCATATAACCCATAGACCCCATCCTCTTTGCTAGCTCCATTTTATGCGTTCCTTTCATGCAATGCAAATCGTTGGAAAAATAGTTTATTTTCCTCTTTTTTTTTATACATTTTTATGAAACTTTTTGTGCCATTTTCCCTTTGTTGCTTAAGCATGTAATTTATGTATTCTTGAATGCAAGTGTGTGTATGTGTGTGTGCAAGTGCCACAACAATTTGCATATGTGGGCCACACTCAGGTGGCAGCCAGCTTTTCTTTTCTATTGGCCACGCATAAAGCTTAATTTATTGGCGCCTGCAGTGTGGAATTTTCGCTACCGGTTTTTGGCCAGGTAGTTGCAATCATTATTTTTTTTTACCCTTTAGTCAACCACAAAAATTTGGCTATCAAAGAAAATTAATAATGCACAAAAGGAAAGGGTGCGGTGCATCCCTGGCATTTCCACTTTTGCGTGCGATTGCGGAATTTTGCGTTAAGGAATGAGTGTAAAATATTTTAAAAGGTTTAATCAGCCGGAAAACGTTGGAAAAAGCAGGAATGAGGGAAAAATTATTTATACCACCAACTACGATGATAACATTTTAAGAATGTCAAAAACTTCAAGCAAGATACAAAAGATTAAATTTGATTAATATTAACATACTCCCTAACCCACAGTTATATTTTCCCTATGTACTTTCCTCAAATCGTCAAACTAAAGTCATTATAATTAAACCCATTATTAAATTTTCAGCTTGAATGCCGACTTGTGGTCTGTTGATGGTCAAATGAATTGCATATCTGATGGGGCCTAAATCCGATATATGGATGATTTCTGAGACGCGTCTGGTACGCTCATTTAGCATTTGCCACGGGCTTTGTTGTCGATTTCAAATGGCATTGAAGGGCAGCCATGGATGGCTGCTAATGCGCCCGAGTGCTAACTGCTTGGAAACGGATTGTCCAAACTGTAGAATTGCCGAATTGTCAGATTGCTGGATTGCCCGATTGCGTCACGGATTGTCTGAAAACGATAGCAATGCATTGCGAATGGGGTTGCAGGAACGCTCGAATAGGTTCAAGAGATCTGAATGTTAAGTTCCATAAGGGCCTGCATGTTTAAGTCAGAAATAAGGCTCAAATTTGATAGGATTTTTACTTTCACTGATATTTTAAATATTTTTTCAAGTTACATTTTAAATCTTTAAAGTCAAAATCAACTTATTAACTTACTTTTTACAGTTCTCTTTGTAGTGGTTAAAGATCCTGCGGCTACGCGGCGGTTACTTCATTTCTTTGCCACATTTATGGCACTACACTTGACTATGCTCAGTACTTTTCTGGCCAAAAGAGAAGCCTAAGCTTAGCCAGAAGTCATGGAACGAACGCCGTCGTTTCATCGCGAGCTCGTAAACAAATGCGCACCTCAAATTTGTAAAGATTAGCAGACAATTCGCACACAGTCAACACGGGCAACATCTAAGCTGCTATCTACCATTTTCCATCTACCAATCCCCAAAACAGCACTGAGAAAAATTAAACTAATACAAAGTGTATTTCAATAAAAGTACTATCAGGAATATTATTAAAAATTTCGACAAGAATCTGTGAAACTTCTATCTTCTACCACTAATTTATGTTTCAAGCCAATTCAAAATTAACATTTTTCTCCGTGTAAAGATACAATTTTAGAAATAAGAGAGAACGGGAAGTTGAAACCGAAACAGCGCGGGGTTGAGGGACCCAGGTAGCCACCTGGTCTAATCTAATAGCTGCCGGCTGACAAACATTGACATTTTCTGTTATGTAATCAGAAGCCCAAAGGTATGCCCAAAATACAAAGAACACGTGCCCAACACGCTCGCCAAGAGCTGAAAGTAAGGTGAAAAGCGGTAAAAGCGGAAAAGCGGAGGAAACGCAATAAATTGTCGCATAAAAATTGATGTTTTATTTTCAGCTGCCTTTCCCTCACTTTTCCCCAGCACTTTTCCCATTTTGGGTTTCTGTTGTCTTTTGCTCTTCTCCGCCTTTTGCTATGCAAAACGTGCATGGAAATCGCAAAATTCTTTTTGGTTTTTCGGTTAGCCGAAACACAAACAAAAGCATCCGAGTAGAAAGTTGCTCTTGGGTAGTAAAAATTCTCGTAGCGGGGACATTTTTAAACAGTGAAAATTCGTATCGCAGTCACTTGGTGGAAAATGGATTTTTTCTGAATTCTTTCCCACAAATAACTACTTCAGTTATAGGGTACTGTTATTATGATTATCCTTAAAGTAACGGCCTTCCAATGTTTATTTTTCTAATTCACCCATATTTAACTAAAACTTTTCCCTGTATTTCCATATTAAACACAAGACCTAAGCGGATCTTTCCGATCTTAGTCAAAGCCTACATCGTCATGATTATTTGATGCCAGAGCAGAGTTATTTATAGGCAGCTGACATGACTATCGCCGACCCAAAAACCTTGCCTTATATAGTTGGAGACCCTGGAAATAGACTCAAATGTGGTGTGAGAGAATGAGGCGTAAATTAATATTTGCCACGTGTAGTGCTGGGAGATGTGTTGAGCGTTAACCGCTGGGCAGGCGCACGTGAAAAATGTCGAATAATCCATTACGGACAAGACAAGTGCCTCTTATCGTCAGACAGCCCACGCGGTCCCAGGTTCTCAAGAAGGTGTTGCCTTGCGGTTTTGGCCCAAAAACTACTCACCTGCCTCCAGTCACTGCACTTGACGTAGACGGACAATCCGCCCTTTTATGTCGGACTCCCTACTATAAATTTAACCGGCATGTCAGTCAAATGCTATTCTCTATTTCTCTTGTTCCTGCTGCATAATCTGTTTGCCACCCCGAGGCGGTAGGCGTGAGTTTAGGCCCTTGAAATGGGTATGAGAGGCCCGAAGTTACTCTTCCTAATTGGTTTCTCGGGAAACCGTAAACAAGCTAGGTTATGTTAAATCGAAATGGTAAGTAAAAGACGATAAATGAAGCTGTAACTTTCAAAATGGCCGGTGAATGCAACTCTGCGAAGAAATTCAATTAAAATAAAGCTTTTATTATTTACTCTTTTAAACTTGTACAGATCACAATAATGTTATTATTACGAATATAGTTATATCTTAAGTATTTCCGATTTATGAATTTTAGAAGTTAAAATCCATTTTTGTCTTACATTTCTTGATTTTAATGGGTATGATTAAACAGTATATATTTAACAATAAATAAACCGAAATCTAACACACAATAAACATTTAATAAAATTGTTTTAGTTAACAGATTGCTCATAAGCTTAATTTTAAGGCAACGAGACAAACGAGAAAAGATTAAATCTTCCTTATCAATTTTGCAGCCTATCAAAATTATTTTACTCCATTCATTAAAATACATTATTAGTATTGGTAAATTATATATATATAATATTAATAGCTCATATAACAATGAGCTACAGCTAATTGTGGCTTATCTTGAAATTCTGACTCACTTTTACTGGGAAGAAATATTTTATAAGAATAATAGACTATTTTTCATGATAAGCCTCACATTAGCCTTGCTTGAGAATATAAAAGCCGAATGAATCTTATGCTGCCCAATTATTATATTCCAATCTTTAAGCTAAGAATAAAGTGCTCTGCGATTTCGTTATATATTTTCGTCTTGGTGCTGTGCCACAAGTCAATTGCCCAGCTCCTAGATGAAAAATGTCTTCCAAATACGAAATTCGTTGAAAAAGTAATGTATGGCCATCAAGCAAAAAAAGGTGTCACCCCATGGATGGCTCTTATACGTGATTCCAAGGAGTTTATTTGTGGCGGTTCACTTATTAACAAACGTTAGTACAGTAAATATGGTGTAACACGAAATCTACTTACTAAATTATTTCCACTGTCTTTAGGCTTTGTCATGACAGCAGCCCACTGCTTTAAAAGACGACCGGAAATGTAAGTTTAAAATTTGAACGACAAAGTTCATATTAATTTTCAAAATATTTTGGATTAGATTTGTAAAATTAGGCGTTTACGACAAATATTGCCCACAATCACAATGCACAGAGGTGGAAGAATATAAAGTAGTCGATAGGATTGCCTACAACGTGAACGGAGTTACTAGCGATATAGGACTACTAAAACTGGACAGAGAAGTGATCTACAATGGTAAATACACTTTCAAATCAATAATATTTCCACCCACTGTAGTAAGTTTAATATTTGAAAAATTGTTTACTTTCAAAATTGTTTAAAAATATCGACTAAACATTCCCTAAGATAGCTTCTGCAATATACTTGCCTTTAATCTCTGTCTCTGTCATGGAGTTCGGCATCAGTAAAACTATAGGTAATACGCTTTAATCGACAGAATATATTTCGCCGATCTGCATCATCCTCGATAACACGGTAGACCCGTTGTCCGTAAAAAAGTACTCGGCCTACGGCTGGGGTAAGACGCATACAAAAAAACCAAGCCGATACCTTAGATTATTAAGCCTGCGTCGTAGTAGTGCGACGGAATGTACGATACGTTTGATGAAAAGCTATTCTGCGCTGGTGGCTCAAAAGGGGACACCTGTGAAGGCGACTCCGGCGGTCCTTTGGTCTCGCGTGTCAAGTACAATGGAACAATGATCTACGCCCAGATGGGGGTAATCTCTTTTGGAACCGAGTCTTGCGATTCCATTGGACTTTATATAGATGTAATGAAACATAAAAATTGGATAATGGAACATTCTCAAGTCGTAGATCCAGAAGTGAAGATTATGCTGAAACAAGCTCCTCAGGAACCTTCCTTGAAGGAGCATCCGTATTATCAGTTTATCAGTGAATTATTGGTAAGTTAACATGTTGACAAACTCTGTATATAGTTAAGTAATGCCAATTGTTTCATTTTTAATGGTAAAATCCAATAGGAAAGGTTCATTAAGGAATATTGCTGTTGTAACAAAGAAGAAAACAAATCGAAGCCAAAATTGGAATATCGCTCGAAAACTAAGTAATTCCCAGGTAAATTTTTATTTTACTTTATAAAAACTTTATGTAACGTTCCTTTCCTTTCAGTATGCAACTAACTAATATGTTGGAGTTCTTTGTAAAGGGTTAATTTTTTTTCTTTTGCGTAATCATATAAGTACCTTGTGCGCAACTGTAAAATTAAACAAAACCTAATTAGTTCAAAAGGTTTACAAATATGAAAATACCTCATTGACTTCTTATTGTTTTGGCAAAACCTTGCAATGGTTGCAAGATATTCCTGTAGACCATTGGCCTCTTCTCTGTGACATCTTGAGTTGTAGATGACTGCCATGTCATCTGCATATGTCGCAATAAGTGTTTTTGAGGGGTCTAACATATGCTGTCGGTTAGGGCTTGGTATATCAGAAGTATACAACGAATAGAGCAACGGTCCAAGTACACTGCCTTGAGGAACTCCTGCGCTCATTGGATAGTTATTCGATAATATATCTCTTTCTTTGTCCTTAAACTCTCGATCTTCCAGATAAGATCTTAAAAGCCCATAGTACAGGAGCAGGTAACAGACTTTTAATATTGTGCTATAGGCCAACATGCCACACTTTATCGAAAGCTCGCTGCATGTCAATAAAGACCACGTTAGAATACTCATCGAAAGCCTGTAAGATATATTGAACCAATCTGTGGACCTGTTATACTGTGCTGTGACCTCTTCGAAATCCAAATTGATGATGTGGCAATATATTGTTTTGAGACACAATCGCGGTAATTCGATTTGCAATGAGTCTCTCCCACAGTTTGGACAGGGAGAGTAAGAGATCTATTGGGCGGTATGACTCAGTTTCAACCTCTGGTTTACCGGGCTCATGGATCATCAGTATCGCAGCAAGTTTCCATTGCTTTGGGAATAATTGAATCGTAATAATAGCATTAAAAATTAGTGATATAAATAGAATCGAATAGAATAGAATTTAAGTTGTTCAGCAGCCCGGTACCATCTACTTCGGAGAACGAATTGCTATTCTTCGAAGACGCCTTAATGCCATAACTACTAGGACGAGGATCACGATCAGGTGGAGTTAAAGCAGTCGCAGCTCTATGTTTATTGTCAGTGAGAATGTCGACTGCATTTTCGATGTCTGTACAGTCCAGTACAGAATTTAATTGGTAGGAGCTCTTAAGATGTTGTTTAAAAGCTCTGAGATCAGTACGACTTAACATTAACCGAGAACTTGGTCTTACATTAACGCCATTTGTTTGCAGATCCCAAATCTGGCCGATATTTATTTGAGAATCCAGTATCCCGTGGTATAGTGCGAAGTCAATGCAAGTAGCTGTTTGGCTAGATACATATGGGTATCCTGGCTTTACCTGAAACACCATTTTATTTACTATTGAGGCGTAAGATTGGTTGCAGAGGTGGTAGGCTTTTGCAGACTTAGTTGCTGCCTAGTTCACTGTTGTTCCTGATGTTTTTGTTGTGATTGCTTGTCGCGGTATTTGCTTCTTCGAAGTACCCATAGCACGTCTAAGGCAATCTTGATACCACTGGCAACCCTTGTAGCGTGCCACATGATTCCCTTTGCAGTGTATACAGGTGGGCGCTTGATCTTGGGGGCATTGCTTTGTGGGATGATCTTCGCCACATCGAGCACAATTGGGGTGTCGACGGTAGTACTTTCCTGTGTGTCCAAATTCTTACTATATAATATATAGCATTAATTTCTGTGCATGGCTTGATATTTATGAAGAATATGACTTTGTTGTATATCCACAAAGAATTGATGAGTTAGCTGCAGCAGATGTAATGAATAGTGTTGAATTAATCCTGGTAGAAGAATATTGGTGATATGATATTCTGAGTTTCAAAGCACAGTGTGCGTCGAGCACTGTTGATTTCTGCCCTGATCTCTGAGGGTGTTTTTCCAGAAACTTGGTGCATTCTTCCAAATTCAATCTTCTTATCGCTAAGCAGAAAGTAAATAAAACGCACGATTAACATTTAATAACATTGCTTTTAGCTATTTCACTTAACAGATTGCTCATAAGCTTAATTTTAAGAAATTTAGACAAACAAGAAAAGATTAACTCTTCCTTATCAACGTTTGCTGCCTATCAAGGTTATTTCTGTTTACATTGTTTTACTCCATTCATTAGAATACATTATCTTGAAATTCTGACTCACTTTTATTGATAAGAAATATTTTATAAGCATAATCAACTATTTTTCATGATAAGCCTCACATTAGCCTTGCTTGAGAATATAAAAGCCGAATGAATCTTATGCTGCCCAATTATTATATTCCAATCTTTAAGCTAAGAATGAAGTGCTCTGCGATTTCGTTATATATTTTCGTCTTGGTGCTGTGTCACGAGGGAATTGCCCAGCTCCTAGATGAAAAATGTGTTCCAAATACGAAATTCGTTGAAAAAGTAACGTATGGCCATCAAGCAAAAAAAGGTGTCACCCCATGGATGGCTCTTATACGTGATTCCAAGGAGTTTATTTGTGGCGGTTCACTTATTAACAAACGTTAGTACAGTAAATATGGTGTAACACGAAATCTACTTACTAACTTATTTCCACTGTCTTTAGGCTTTGTCTTAACAGCAGCCCACTGCTTTAAAAATCGACCCGAACTGTAAGTTTAAAGTTTTAACGAGAAAGTTCATATTCATTTTAAAAATACCTTGGATTAGATTTGTAAAATTAGGTGTTTACGACCAATATTGCCCTCCATCAAATTGCACAGAGGTGGAAGAATATAAAGTAGTCGATAGGATTGCCTACAACGTAAACGGAGTTACTAGCGATATAGGACTACTAAAACTGGACAGAGAAGTGATCTACAATGGTAAATTAACTTTCAAATCAATTATGTTTCCACCCACTGTAGTAAGTTTAATATTTGAAAAGATGGTTACTTTTAAATTTGTTTAAAAATATCGACTAAACCTTCCCTAAGTTTGCTTCTCCAATATCTCCAATATCTGTCTCTGTCATGGAGACAAATAAGTTCAGCATTAGTAAAACTATATGTATGTAATCTGCTTTAACCGACAGACTATATTTCGCCGATCTGCATCATCCTCGATAACACGGTAGACCCGTTGTCCGTAAAAAAGTACTCGGCCTACGGCTGGGGTATGACGCATAAAGGAAAACCAAGCCGATACCTTAGATTATTAAGCCTGCGTCGTAGTAGTGCGACGGAATGCAATTCTATGTACGATTCGTTTGATGAAAAGGTATTCTGCGCTGGTGGCTCAAAAGGGGACACCTGTCACGGCGACTCCGGCGGTCCTTTGATCTCGCGTGTCAAGTACAATGGAACAATGATCTACGCCCAGATGGGGGTAATCTCTTTAGGATCCGAGTCCTGCGATTCCATTGGACTTTATATAGATGTAATGAAACATAAAAGTTGGATAATGGAACACTCTCAAGTCGTAGATCCAGAAGTGAAGATTATGCTGAAACAAGCTCCTGAGGAGCCTTCCCAGGAATGGCATATGTATTATCAGGTTATCAGTGAATTATGGGTAAGTTAACATATTGACATACTTTATATATAGTTAAGTAATTCAACCAATTGTTTCATTTTCCCAGTGGCAGGATCCGAATAATCAGTCTCAAAAGATATTATTGGTAAGTCAACATGTTGACATACTTTATATATAGTTAAGTAATGCCAATTGTTTCATTTTTAATGGTAAAATCCAATAGGAATGGAAAAATAAGATCAGTTTAAACCAAAGGGATAACAAATCTATGCCAAAATTGGAATATCGCTCGAAAACTAAGTAATTTCCAGGTAAATTTTTATTATACTTTATAAAAACTTTATATAACGTTCCTCTCCTTGCAGTATTCAACGGACAAATATGTTGAAGGTCGATGGGTCTTAATTATGGTATAAACTTTTTGTAAAAGAGTAATTTATAAACTTACTAATAGTAATATGATATCAATTTGAATTATGTTTTCAAATAAACATTACAAAATATTGACCTAAAACTTTTTATGTTGATAAAACAAATGAATGCCTCTCATGCCACTCATAACCGTTTAGCGCGTGCTTCTGATAAGCCAACACTGTAGTCATACTATCACACTAATTGATAAACAAAACGAATATATTTTATTATTTGTTTTAATATGGAATACTTTCTATAATAATAATATTGCGGCTGTGCATCTCTCTACAACTTCTGTCTGTGAACAGTTGCCTGAAATATACAAGTGGAAGTTAATAAAAATAAATAAAAAAATAACAATATAAAAAAATATTTAGGAAAATACTATTTGTCTCACAAATTAGATTCCTTTTTGATCGCTGAAATGAAATTATAAAAAAATGTATCTAACAATAAGTATTGCCTTTTATTTTTCCCACGCATGTCAAACTAATTTACTACAGTCCTCGATCAAAAATATATTCTATTAACATCAAGTGAATAGTTGATAACCTGACCTACGCATTCTAGCAAACCCAACTCAAATATTATGGACGACTTTTTGACTTAGAAGTCACGGCAGGATATTCGAATACATATAGAGGGGGAAAATAAGAGGGAGATGAAAAGGCAGGATGACAGTGAGATGTGGTAGAAGGTAACGCGATAGCGGAGCGGAAATTTGAGCAATGCAGCTAAATTGCGTTTAACCAAGCAAGCGAACCAACTCGAACTGAAGGCATTCAAAAGCCCCCAAAACCCATTCCCGGATCCCGATTTCAGCCCGGAACCGGAGAGCTCGAGACCCGGATGGCTAAGAGTCCCAAGGGCGAAGAAGCACCTTCCTTCGTGAAGACAAACTGCGCGTTGAAAACATAAATTCTTGATTGCAATAGACGTCGACAATGTTGTCACCGCCGCCAGACTCGCAGGCATCATCATCATTTTGATGTCGTCTCCTCATGAACTTGCGCCATATTTCACTCAAGGCTACCATTTCAAAAGGGGCACGCCCAGGCGTCCAAATAGTGATGCCAAATATGAAGGACCAATAAGTATGGAAATATTTAAGAACTCATTTACTTGGATCAATATATTAACTAAACTAAATATATTTAAATTTGATTTTTTGAAAACCAAAAATAAGCTAAAAACCAACAATTTGCCACCACTGGCGATGACCAAAAGTAACAAAAGGAACACGTGACATCTGCGGTACATAAATAAAGAGAAGGAGAGAAATGGCCGGTGTAAATTATTGCACGACATCATCAGCGAAGGGTCCTCACTTTTTGGGGTCACCACCTCAACAGCAACCTATTTATATAGCCTCGAATTCTATTGGATCTCCCTCCAAAAACACAACCCCAAATCAATGGGTTCTCCTCTACTAATTTCCCTTTGTCTACTTTTAGGCGAATTAAGTGCTTAAATTTCAATTAAAACTTGTACTTGAACTTCTTAATGGTGAAGGAGAGCAGGGGAATTGCTTTCGTCTCCCATCGCACTGGCCTCATTAATGCTAAATATCCGCGATATTTTATAGTAATTAGGAACAGTCAAATTGAATTGGCATTAAGGCGTGTTATGTTGCACGAGCTCTGGCCATGCTATAAAAAGGAAATGTTATTAGGGTTAAACTTAGTAAGACATTCTTGGGGACGGAGGCAATTTTCTGGAAAATAGGCAATCAAATTGAGGAAAGAAGGAAATGGGTTCGAAGGATGAGAAAACCAGATTGACGATCCACTTGGAATTACGAGATTTCCACAAGAACTTCAGCCTTCTGACTACAAGCATGCGATGCCAAAAATATCTCATAATTGAGTGGAAAAATTATGGATTAAAGATTTCATTTTTGAACCTAAAAGACAAATCATATACAAATTTAAACTATAAACAAAAATGCTTTTAAAATTAAAAAGCCAAAAAAAAATATTTCAAGTGATTAAAATTCATGGAATGCTTACATGGAATTTTCGTAAGACTTTTTTAATCTCACTCACACTTCAGTAATGAAATAAATACATGCTATTCAGTGGCTTGGAAGACAGAAATAATTTCTTGTAGAAGCAGCCGAACCGAAACGCAGACACGGCCACAATACAATTTGATTTCCATTTCGTGGGATCTCTGGCTTTGATTGCCGCTGACCTACTTGCTGCCTGATTACCCCACCAAGCACATACTGCGATACATACAATATAGACACCCACTCACACACAAAATACACAGACAAACGCAGACAATCGGAGGTGAAGAGGAAATGCTCCTTGTGGCATAGTTTGCATAACTTACGGCGCATGCCGCATTCCTGGCTGGCAAATAACTTTGCATACTTTCGGTGGCATGGATAAGTTGCCTTGATTTATGCAGCAAACACTTTCGATTAATTGCCCACAGAGCTGCGCTTATTGCACATATATGCCGTTATCTGATATGGATATAATGGTATGGTAATTCTCGGGATAAGGAGTATAATTTGGAGGCCAAGGGGCAAAAAGTCATCAAAACTATTTCATTAATTTGTTGCTCGGCTGCTCTGCTGCTACGGGTCCCCAGAAGTCTTTAAAACTTTTGTTTGTTTGCCTTTGGCCAAAGTTTTAATCGCATTTGTTTGTCACCGCTCTCTTAACTATATATTTCGTTGGCAATCCGTCTCAATTACTCGGGAACGTGTCTTGCCGACTTGCGTCAATATTTAACTTATAAGTCAAAATTTTAGACAAATGTTTGTATAGTGGAGGAAGGACATTTTCAGGATAGGCTCTGGTTATTGGATTAAAAAGTTCGGCAAACATATAGGGCGATGATCTAACCGCGGTGACAGTGTTCATTCTTGAAACTGAAACAGATTTTCCCCTTGCCAATATAGTTTTATTAAAGGTTTCAATGTTTGATTTCGCTTAATGCTGCATTTCGAGAACGTATAGCGTATGCACAAACAACATCTGATTAACTTTTCTATCATTTTCAACTTGGCCCTGTGGCAAAACGATTTTATATTTTTGACCGGCCCTCTTTCTCTCCAAAGTAAGTGAAGCGAGAGCTGCAGAGCTGTCAACCGCACGGATACAAATACAGGAAGCAGAGCACCGGCTCACGGGGCGGATGGATAATGTGAGGGGGAAATTGAGGTGGCTGTGGAGCGGCGAGTGGTACGTTGGGAGCCAAGGATGAAGCCAAACTGAACCTGGTTGAACTGCACCTGACGCACGGGCAAATACACCAAGGGCCAACTAGCTCATCCTCATCATGCCCCCTCTCAGTTGCTAATGTAGTTTACTTACGCTGAAATATTTGCTTTGCCAAACTGCATTTCCATTTCCAGGGAAGGAGTCAATTTTTATCACTCGCTTGAAATTTGCATACGGACATGGCAGTTGGAATCTTCTAAGGTAATTCAGAGAGCACATTGGAAAGAGATTCTACAATTTGAAATAAAATGAATAAAATCAAATCTTATAAGGAAACTCTTTTAATGAACTTTTCTTTTGTAATCTTTAAATGAAAAAAAAAAACATAAAAAAATAAACTATTATAATTTCTTAATATATTTTCCTGATATTTATTTTTGAAAGTGTTCTAACCACTGTTCAGTTTTTGGACAGAAAACCGAGCGTGTCCAAAACTACATTGCCGAATGAGATGCAATTTTTAATCGAAAAAATTACACAGAAATTCAGTTCCTGTTTTTAGATAAAATTAAGATAATTATGCATCCTGGTGGACAGGGGAATGAAAAGTAGAGCCAAGGTATAGCAAGCAGGATCAGCCGCAAATTGCCTTCATCATTCTTGGGGTGGTGCTACCTTTTGTCTGTCTTTCTGTGCTCCTGTCCAGGACTTATGAGAAAGGCCAAAATGTCATGTCCAACAGATAAAAAGGACACGGACACGGCGGCTAATGACACAAAGAAAGGATACTACAAAAAAAATTAGCTGCACGGAGAAATATAAATTTTAAATATCTCAATAAATATGGTAAACAAAAATTATAAAAAAAAACGATAAAAATATTCAAGGGTATTCAAATTTGTAACTTTTCCCTAAAAAATAATAATGTTAATGCAAGATTTGATCCGTTTAATCTATATTAAGATCAGAATAGACATTAGCTAAGGCAAAAATGTTGGCAATAATCAAAACTTGAATCCTCTTTTTCTATCAGTGTACAAAAAGCAAGGGACGAGACCAGAAAAGGGTTATACAACTCAGTTTCATCCCAACTCCTCTTCTCTTCACCCCATTATCTTTGGTCTAGGCCATTATTGTTCAGGCTTTATTGTTTTTTTTGTGTTTTTTTGCCATCTTACTCATTTTGTTGTTGCGGCTCCTTTTGTTGAATTGAAACAATTTGTCACTTTTTGGCCAAGTGCCTCTGGCGGCTTTTTGTTCAGCAGTGCGAGAGTTAGCTGAACCTCTGAGGAGAAGCCCGGCCAACCTTTATTCATCTCCTTTGTAGTTAATGAAATAAATGAAGAGCAAAGTGCAGATGGGCGCACAAAAATATACATAATATTTCTGACAGTGTTTTATTGCAAATTGCCAAGTTCTGTTGATGTACACAAAATTACGGACTTCCTGATACGCCATAAGGTAAGCTAAATTACCAGCACCAGAACATTATAATTTATTTTATTTATTGCACATTACTTTTAAACTCAAGTAAAATGATTTTCTTTTTAAATTAGTTTTCGCTGCAATGACCATTGGTAAATAAATTATAGCTCAGTAGATTGTAGATATTGATTGCATAACATATTTGCACAATTACCATATAAATGTGTAAATGGGAAATATGCTCTCATATCGAACACATGTTCGAAACGCTTTATGAAGTGTTCTTTCAGCCAGTCCACCGATAAAAGCCTATAACTCGATATATATAGTCGTATATATATATATATATATACAATGAACTGCATTTCATTAGCTCACCGCACTTGACCACGTGTAAAAACACCAGAAAATAAATAAAAACAGCAGAGAAAATCAATCGGAGTGTTAAATTTCACTGAATTGCCATTTCATTTGCATAAGTTACATTACAGTACATTAAATTAATGCCAGACGGCCACTTAGAGCAAATACGATAAAAGCAATTGAATTTGCTCACACAAGCAGTTAACGGCCAGCCGAAACAAAAATAAAAAAAACAAGCGGTTAAAAAGATTTAATTTGGCCAATGGTCAGGTTTCAGCTTTTTTCCGGGAAATCCAAACAAATAAATAAGATTAGGGTGGACAATGGAGTAAGGGGGCCAAACTTAACCTCAGATGGGCCAGCTTTATCATAAGCCAGGTATTGGCCGTTTGATCTGTTGCAGCATTTTCCCCACCCACTTTCCACCTTGAACCACCTGGCCTCAGTCCTCCTCCCTTTGAACTTTGCCCAATGGTTACCAAATCGGCCTAAATGTCTAAACAGGAAATCAATTCTCAAACGGCCTTTTCTGTCGGACTCTCGCACAAATCCACACAGCTTCTTTAAATTTTGAAAGGAAGATTCTTGGAATAGGAATTAATATGTGTTCATGAATGCGTTTTTAAAACAAGCTATATTAACATATTGAAAGGGTCAGCGTTAAATTTAAAAAAAAGTAAATTTATTAAAATGCTTCTTTTATATATGGTAACTATTCTACCAGTTAAACCTTTTCCTTCTTGACCAAACATTTTCCGGAATGACTTCAAATTAGCCTTCCACATATCCTAGTAAAGCTCTCGGAATTTAGCAGCCTTTTGAAGTTTATTGTGCTCTGGGCTACTTCAGACGATTCTGCAACAGTGAATGTTGATGTACCTGGACTTGCATATTGTTGGGTGCTTATGTCTGGGGCACGCTTGAAATGCAACATTTCCCCGGAAAGCAGCGGAAGGCCTTTTATATGCCCGGCCAACTTCCGGTCTATAGAAAACTAAACTCAGCTCTGCTTCAATCTGCTGTGGTTTTTGTAGTTGTTATTGCCATGTGGTGGCAGGTGAACAAAAGGTGCATATGCTTTATTGTTGTATTTTTTTCACAGTCAAACGGAACGTGAGTGAGCTGCCCTTAAACTTTATTTGTAAGGAAGAAATTCAAGAATTAAATATTTTTATAAATTTGTTTATGTTTTGTTTTCTTCGATAAAAACACTTTTTAATACCAATAAATTTTTTAAACATTCAAAAATCACATTGTTGGTTTAATTCAAATAATTAAACTATATTCACATTAACGTCTATTAACCGCCAACGATCAAATTAAACCGTGTCTTTAATCATATCTAAACTATCGATAACATTCCGTAAGATATGTATATTATCGGTGCGTGCCCTTGTGCCTAGTTCTCGGCTATGGTTCATGTCCGCACTAAAATATATCCCGCTGATATATTAAATTTAAATCGTTAAAATTAAAAAACAAATATAAGTTTTTTGTGTTTTAAATATTTTCAACAAAAATTAAGTGAGTAAAAAATGTATATAAAGCTTAATTGTAATTAATATGACAAATAATTTCCAACTAGTCTCTTAAATTTATACATTTCTTTGCAATGAAAGAAACTTTGCAATCAACAAACATATTTTAAAGCTGTTATCTTCAATTTAAACAAATATTTTATTAAAAATAAGCATTTGAGTTTCCCTTCTTTTCCCCCAAAGCCGTGTTCAGCTATAAAAATTCCTGCTAGCATCACTGCGCAATGTTATGTTATCGCACTTATCGAGTGACGTGATTATTCGATAGCCTATGATAGAGAAAATGTACGTCATGTGATTGTGGATTCTTTTTTCGCGAGGAGCAGTCAAGTCACCTGTCGGCCGAGAAAATACAATTACGCCTGCAATTCGGTGAGTGTTGGCTGGAAAACTTGGAAATCCGGACGTGCTAACATCTTCCCGATCCGCAGACAGTGAAGAAATAGCAAGATGGCGGCCCAAATTCGCACCGTGGTGTCCCAAACGTTCCTATGGCTCTTCCTTGCGGTGGCCACCATCCTGACCCTGTACTTTGTGATGACGGGCAAGGGTGAGCGGGTGAGCGTTGGCTGGTTCCTGGCCTCCTCGAACCCGTACATGTGGGCCTGTTTGGGTATCGGACTCTCCGTCTCTTTGTCCGTCGTGGGCGCTGCCCTTGGCATCCACACTACGGGCACAAGCATCGTGGGCGGCGGTGTAAAGGCGCCCCGCATCAAGACCAAGAATTTGATCTCGGTCATCTTCTGTGAAGCCGTTGCCATCTACGGTCTTATCACCGCCATCGTGCTGTCCGGCCAGCTTGAGCAGTTCTCCATGGAGACTGCACTCTCGCAGGCGGCCATCCAGAACACCAACTGGTTCTCTGGCTATCTCATCTTCGGTGCCGGCCTGGCCGTCGGTCTGGTCAATCTGTTCTGCGGTATCGCCGTCGGCATCGTGGGATCTGGAGCCGCGCTTTCGGATGCCGCCAATGCCGCCCTCTTCGTCAAGATCCTCATTGTCGAGATCTTCGGCTCGGCCATCGGTCTGTTTGGTCTCATCGTGGGCATCTACATGACCTCCAAGTCCAAGATGGGCGACAAGGAATAGGCGCAGTCGCTATCCATACAACGTAAGTGTGAATCGTCGCGCAACACCGAAGGTCAAGATAATAGCACTGAAAGCGTAACTACTACTGTTAACCATTTCCTTATCAATTATATCTTCCATTCTAACGTTAATATCTTTGATAACTTAATGCTTAGTGCATATAAACAGATATTAATAATCTAAAGCTAAGCTTTATCAAATTGATTACTTTGCGAGTGCTATAGATTTTGACCTCACTTATATTTGAGTCACCCTTTTAACTCCCACTTTTATTACCGCAGCCTTCGCCACTCCATCATCATTATCATCACGAAGAACAACAGTCACCAAGGCATTCCCTCATCCCGAGGCAGACACGCACAACACCAGTGTCTGCGTATTTTTTGGAAATTACAACTTGTTATACGCAGTTACAGCTGGCATGAGACTCCCATACAAACCGACATCCGATCAGCCGAAACGCTTTAAACTGGGACTTTAGTTACTTATTAAGTTGATAGTTGGTTAAGTTGGCAGTTGGTTTTCACGCCTCGCATACTTGCAGTCACCAGCATCACGAAATCGATTGTGGAGTGTGCACGGTGTGAAAACGACGGTAATTTGTTTATATAATTTTTTCGCCAAACGAAAGACATGTGTGTGTGTCCGTTTATGATTTTAAGTAGTTTGTTATGTTTGTTTATACACTGGCTCTTGAAAAGCTAATTCAGAATGTATTATATTAACTACCACAAAAACGATAAACTTGTATATTTCAGGCAACTGTTCACAGACAGAAGTTGTAGAAAGATGCACAGCCGCATTATTATTATTATAGAAAGTATTCCATATTAAAACAAATAATAAAATATATTCGTTTTGTTTATCAATTAGTGTGATAGTATGACTACAGTGTTGGCTTATCAGAAGCACGCGCTAAACGGTTATGAGTGCATTACCCACATACATACATATATAGCATTCATTTGTTTTATCAAAATAAAGAGTTTTAGGTCAGTTAATTTCAAGATTTTTTTGTTTATTTGAAAACTTAATTCAAATTGCTATCATATGAGGATCTGAAAGTATATACTTTCCATAATAAATATTTGTCTACTCATTTACCTCCAACATATTTGTGAGATAATCCTGCAAGGGAAGGATAGTTATTTAAATTTTTATAATCGAGAAAATTTACCTGGCTAAGATTTGTTTTTCTGTTAGTTACAAGGGAAAGATTCCGTACACATCTGTTTCGAATAGATTTTACCATTAAAAAATGAAACAACATTTAACGAATAAACTTACTGAAGCTCTGAATAAACCTATTAGTACAGAGTACACACTCTTCACTCTTGAATATTTATTTTGAGAGTGTTCCATTATCCAACTTTTATGTTTCATTACATCTATATAAAGTCCCATGGAATCGCAGAAACTGGATCCAATAGAGATTACCCCCATCTGGGCGTAGATCATTGTTCCATCGTACTTGACACGCGAGATCAAAGGACCGCCGGAGTCGCCGTGACAGGTGTCCCCTTTTGAGCCACCAGCGCAGAATACCTTTTCATCAAACGTATCGTACATAGAATTGCATTCCGTCGCACTACGACGACGCAGGCTTAATAATCTAAGGTATCGGCTTGGTTTTCCTTTATGCGTCATGCCCCAGCCGTAGGCCGAGTATTTTTTTACGGACAACGGGTCTACCGTGTTATCTAGGATGATGCAGATCGGCGAAATATAGTCTGTCGATTAAAGCAGATTACATACAAATAGTTTGACTGATGTTGAACTTATTTGTCTCCATGACAGAGACAGAGATTAATGGCAAGTATATTGGAGAAGCTAACTTAGGGAAGATTTCGTCGATATTTTTAAACAAAGTAAACAATTTTTCAAATATTAAACTTACTACAGTGGGTGGAAATATTATTGATTTGAATGTTAATTTACCATTGTAGACCACTTCTCTGTCCAGTTTTATTAGTCCTATATCGCTAGTAACTCCGTCCACGTTGTAGGCAATCCTATCGACTACTTTATATTCTTCCACCTCTGTGCAATTTGATGGAGGGCAATATTGGTCGTAAACACCTAATTTTACAAATCTAATCCAAGGTATTTTGAAAATGAATATGAAATTTGTTATTTAAACTTTACACTTACAGTTCTGGTCGATTTTTAAAGCAATGGGCTGCTGTCATGACAAAGCCTAAAGACAGTGGAAATAAGTTAGTAAGTAGATTTCGTGTTACACCATATTTACTGTACTAACGTTTGTTAATAAGTGAACCGCCACAAATAAACTCCTTGGAATCACGTATAAGAGCCATCCATGGGGTGACACCTTTTTTTGCTTGATTGCCATACGTTACTTTTTCAACGAATTTCGTATTAGGGACACATTTTTTATCCAGAAGCTGGGCAATTCCCTCGTGACACAGCACCAAGACGAAAATATATAACAAATTCACAGAGCAATACATTGTCAGCTTAAAGGCTTAAGCATAATAATTGTGAAGTGTAAGATTCATTTGGCTTTTATATCCAAGTGTAACTTATTTTTAGGTATATAATTCATGCTCAATTTCTTATCAATAAAAGTGAGGAAATACGTAAAGGAGGACCGTTCTGACTTTATAAGCTATTAATATATATTATATATAAATGTACCAATACTAATCATTATTTTAATTAAAACAGTACAATTTTATAAAAGAGATACAAATCTTTTTAAAAGTTCAACGTGTCAGCACTAATGTAAACCTTTACTTCAACTGCATTTGATTATCCAAATTATAATGATGATTGGGCAACAACAATTTTGATGTCACACAAAAATATTAATTTGTCTCGTTGTCTGAAAATAAAGTTTACTAGCAAAAAGCTAAAAGCAAATGAATACGAAAAATGTAGATGTAAATGTAGAATACTTAAGATATCACTATATTTCTATAAATAACATTAATATGCACTGTTATAAGAGTGAAGTTTTAAAAAGTAAATAACGTAAGCTTTCTCTTAGTTTAAACACCCGCCCAAAATTCGCATTAAGTTGGCAGAACTGCTTCGCAGAGTTGCATTTGCCGGCCATTTTGAAAGTGACATTTACCGTTTTCCCATGCATCCTCTTTCTTTTGGCGAAAAACGCTACGCAAGGTGCACGTTTTTGAGTTTTACCTTTGGATTTGTGTAAACCGAAATGTCCGAAGAAGTGGTGGAGACCAACAACCAGGAGGCGGAGCAACTACCGCCTCAGCCGCAGGAAGAAGAGATCTGGGAGGAGGAGGGCCCAACCACAATGCCCGCCCAGCAGGCTGAATGGCCGGAAATTAAGCTCTTTGGCCGCTGGGCCTGCGACGACATCTCGATAAGCGATATATCGCTGCAGGATTATATCGCGGTCAAGGAGAAGTTCGCCCGTTATTTGCCGCACTCCGCTGGACGCTATGCGGCCAAGAGATTCCGCAAGGCCCAGTGCCCCATCGTGGAGCGCCTTACTAGCGGTTTGATGATGAAAGGCCGCAGCAACGGCAAAAAGCTTCTCGCCTGTCGCATTGTCAAGCACGCTTTTGAAATCATCCACTTGCTGACATCGGAGAATCCGCTCCAGGTCACGGTCAACGCCATAGTAAATTCCGGACCCCGCGAGGATTCCACACGTATTGGACGTGCTGGTACCGTGCGCCGCCAGGCCGTGGATGTGTCGCCCTTGAGACGCGTGAATCAGGTAAACATAAAATCTTGATACCCAATTCAAACTTTCAAACATTGTTAAAATGTATCTCAATTAGATTTAAACAAAAATTATGTAAACAAAATATGTATAAATTTGTGCGAAACCGGAAAAGATACATGTAAAAACCTCCAAAACCAATTATAATTTTAATAGGTTTTATCTTTCGCTAATTAGTAAATCTTCAATTTAATAATACTCTATATTCACAGGCTATTTGGTTGATTTGCACTGGAGCACGTGAGGCTGCGTTCCGTAACATTAAAACCGTGGCCGAATGCCTGGCGGATGAGCTAATAAACGCAGCCAAAGGATCTTCCAATTCCTATGCCATAAAGAAGAAGGATGAACTTGAGCGCGTGGCCAAATCGAATCGTTAAGCTGCGAATGCTTAAATTTTTACAAACCGGTACAAACGTACATACGTTGTTATGTAATCATCTAATTAAATAAAATACCAAAGTATTTTAAAACTGATGTTTAGCATAAGAGGATAAGAAGCAGTGCAAGTTTGGAAACTGTTTAGAACTTGGTCAATCTCAAACTTAATAATATCGTTTTTTACTCACGGCCTATTTTTTTCTGTCAATTTAAAAAAGATTTGTCTAACAGATGTAACAAAAGTAACATTGGAGTCTCTAATCTGAAAGTAATTTTTTCAAAAAGTAACAAAAAATGAATTTTGCATTTTTTTTCGTGCTGTTCATTTTTGGCGCCGCCACCCTGGTTGGGTTGGGTATAATCCTCTCTCACGTGATGACAGGAATAGGTGAACGCTTGGGCCTGGGCTGGTTTCTATACACCTCGGACCCCTTTCTGTGGTGCGGGCTGGGAATCTTTCTAGCCTGTTCCCTTTCGGTTCTGGGCGCTGCCATCGGGATTTACATGATTGGATGCAGTGTGGCAGGAGGTGGCGTGCGATCCCCCCGGATCAAAACCAAGAACCTGATATCTGTCATTTTCTGCGAAGCGGTAGCCATATACGGTTTGATCACAGCCATCCTGCTATCCGGCATTGTTCAGAACTTCAGCAATGCGCTGATGATGACCGACAGGACAGTGATTTCGAATAACATGTTCACAGGCTTTGCTGTTTTTGGAGCCGGTCTGTGCGTGGGTCTTGTGAACGTGGTGTGTGGCATTGCTGTGGGCGTCGTGGGTTCCGGCGCTGCCCTAGCGGATGCGGCCAACTCTGCGCTCTTCGTCAAGATCCTCATTGTGGAGATCTTCGGTTCGGCCATCGGCCTGTTTGGACTGATCGTGGCCATATACATGACCTCAAAGGCGGTGATTTTCACGTAGGTCAACGCAAAAAAACAGTTTTAATTGAAAATCTAACATTTATTTGATAATTAAAGCTAATCCTCGTCGTCATCGCTGTCATCAGCTTCATCATTGTTTACCTCCTCATCGTCTTCCTCGTCCCAGTGCTTGATTTTCTTGTTAGTCATAAAGTCCTCGCGCAACACACTCCATTCAGGCTTCTTTTTGCCGCTGGAACCATCATCATCGTCGTCATCATCTGTTTCTTGTTCCTCTTTCTTTACTGAGTTATCTATGGCTGTGGATTTGGCGCGCTTGCCGCTCATGAGGACATCCAGGAACTTGCGTTTGTTGATGTTGTTTAGCACTGCATCCTGTCGGCTGTCCAATGGTCCTGCATCTTCTAATTGCTGCTGCAAATCCTTTTGCTGAATGCGTACAGCGTTGAAGAATTGAACTACTCCACGGGTGGCCACTTTGCGAAGCGTTCGCTCGCGCTCCATGTCCCGAAAACTGGGCTTCACGCGTAGCTGAAGTGGAACATTCTTACGCTGCTGTTTCGTCAGCGTGGCATCCAAAGCGGATACCTCTGGCTTCTCATCCTCATCATCGTCTTCTTCGTCTTCCTCCTTTACATCTGTTTTCTCAATCTCAAAGTCGAATCCCGGCTTCTTCGCGGCAGCGGCTTTTTGGAATCGCACAGCCGCCTGGCTGTTTTTAGCACGAGCAAGCACGGTTTTATTTTGGGTTTCTGGCTTGGTGGTTTTCAGGACTTTCAGTATGGAATCCGCCCACCCGGCATTGCCCTCTGCATCACTGGTAGAATTCTGACCGCCATCGGATTCGGATTCTTCCTGGGAACTGTTATTTGCAGGGGCAGGTGTCTTTTTAGCACGTTTCTCAGTCAAAAGGGCCATTTTAAACGAGCAAACAAGTGGATGTAAGAATAAAAACAAATCACACGTTTTTAGGGATGGGACAGTAAAGATAAAAAGTCTCACTATTGGCAAAAGTATCGATGACTTAATAGTTCGATTTTAAATTTGTATATATTCATTAGAAAGAAAATAATGGTAACCTTATTAATATAGCAAAAAAAAAATATAAGTTTGTTTTTGTATTGTATGTCTGTTACGTTGTGCTAGCGACTAGTTACGTTAATAATATGTTCACTATTATGATGTTGTTTTACTTACGTTTAAAATGTACAGGTACACGGTACACTAGGAGCTAAGTCCTGCTTGTCTAGAGTGAGAATGATTTTTTCTGATTAATATATATCAATAAATTTAAATCAGATTCACTTCTTGGAGACGATCCTGTACTTGTCGGTCGATTGCTCCATCTCTAATTTTATTGTGGCGCCAACATCTGGTCACTCTACGTTTCATGTGTGCCGGTGGTTTGTATGTGATTTTATTTATTTACAAAAATGGACCTAAGTACTCTGCTGCAGCGAGCCCAGAACCTGACAAATGAGGCGAAAGCGGAAAGTGAGCTTCCCGCCGTGGAGCGGACGCTTCAGCAGGTTCTACAGGCCACCACGGAGCTCCACTCTCGCGTCACCCAAACCGGCGGCAAAGAAATCCAGGCGTGAGTAAACAAGCTCAAGTAAACTGAATTGATATCCCAATACTTACAATTTTTATTAGGCACATATTACTGGGATCCAAGGGCGTGGACCTTCCCAAACTAAATCAGAAGCTTGAGTCGCTGAGTGCTCGGAAAACCTTTGAGCCGCTTGACGTTAAGGCTGATACTGATGTGCGCACATTTCTAAAGAACGAGCGAGAGAATGCCATTCTGTCCGTGATCGAAGATACCAACAAAAATGTGGGTAAGCAATCATGTCTTCAATTTATGACTGACACCTCTCTGAATTCCCAGATAAGCGATGCTGTCAGCAAGCAAAAGTGGGCCAGCATGAATAAAGCCTGGATCGAGGAGAAGACCCGCCTGCTAGACGCCCTGATCGCGCCCTCTCAGAACTTTATCGACCTGCAGCGTCTGCCAGAACCCACCATTCTAAATCCGCACTTTCAACCACGTTCATGCCTTGATTCTTTAGAAATGGCATACGCCCAGGAATTGCGGCAGTACAACGAATTGCTGCTGAAGGGCAGCCTTCGGCCCAATCTCGTTCAGAAGTTTGCCCAGTTGTCTCAGAGCTTTGGTGACTCCCGCCTGACAGACATGTGGACCATGCTAGCTTGCGTTACCCAAATAAGCGAGCCGCTTCATAGCGATCCCATCAAAAGCAGGCAGCAAAGGCCAGAGTTTGTTGATCATGCGAAGTCCTACCTGGAGCGGAGATACAGAGTTTTTATGTGCTCGCAAGTGGGCGGATCCTATGCCAATAACAGCTATCAGTTGGTATTGGCCTTTGTAAGTCAGCGGTTCAGTGCACAGCAAACTATAGGATTGGTAGACACAGTAGGCGAAAGACCCTTGTGGCCCCTGGTTTATTACGGATTGCGCTGTGGATCGGTCGAGACGGCTGTCGAGTTTCTGCGCGAAACGGGAAGTAGTCACGAGGAGTTCGCCCAGCTACTGTCGGATCGAAGTGCAGGAGAAACAAATTCAAGAATAGAAAACCAACTGCGCTTACAGTACGCCAACAAGATACGCAACTCCACCGATGCCTACAAGAAGGCCGTTTACTGCATTCTTTTAGGATGCGATGTAAATGAAGTTCACGGGGAGGTGGCCAAAACCATTGATGATTTTCTTTGGAACCGATTGTCCATGCTTCAACCCGGTGACGCCGCCAACTATGGTAAACTGCAGTCGCTGATTTTGGAAAAGTACGGCGAAAAGTACTTTAATGCCGAAAAACAGCCGTACCTCTATTTCGAAACTCTTGCACTAACTGGCCAGTTTGAGTCAGCTATCGAGTTCTTGGCCCGCCGTGATGATAACCGAGTTCATGCAGTTCACATGGCCATAGCGCTGCATGAGTTAGGTCTTTTAGGCGGGGCACGCAGTGTCACCCAGCCTCTACTTTCGATCGATATTATGGATCCAGCTCCACTAAGACGCCTCAACCTTAGCCGTCTAGTTCGACAATATGTGCAGCGTTTTGAGCGCACGGATACCACAGAAGCTTTGCACTATTACTATACATTGCGATGCCTAAGGGATACCAAGGGCCGAAACATGTTTATGGCATGTGTGTGCGATGTGGTCGTGGACAGTGGAGTCTTTGATACCTCCATTTTTGACCTGATATTCGGAAAGCGACAGGCGTGTGACCAAGAAGAAACCAGGTGAGCAGATAATTTAGTGTTATTTTTAATTAGTCTTAAGTCTAGTTTTTTTTTTTTGTATTTTCAGTGGCCTCTTCCGACAGTTCGATTGCCCGGAGTTTGATACCCGCACCATGGCCGCTCTGGTGGCTGACGAATTGGCATCGTTGGGAAACTTTGAGATCTCGGCGCGACTTTACGAAATGGCCGGCCAGTATGACCTTGCCCTGAAGCATATTTGTATTTTGCTAGCCCAAGTGGTTCAGCTGCCCACGCTAGGCGGATCGCTTAGGGATCGCCTCGGTACTGAGGCTCAGAGATTCAGCAATCTTCTGGATAGCGATAACATCGAGGTGGAGCCCAAAATGAAGAGCAGCTTTATTTTGCTGCAGGATCTACTTATATTCTTCAACTTCTATCATGAGGGCAAATTTAATGCGGCACTGGATCAGCTTCGGAAAACCCGACTCATGCCCAACACGTCGAACGATGTGGATGCATGTCTGGCCAATGTGAAGCGTCTCAGCGGTGAGGTGATCAAAGTGTTGCCCGAAGTTTTTGTGGCCGCCATGGACATCGCCCAGCGACAGTATAGGCAGCTTAAGTCAGGAATGGGCGGATCGTTAGAGCAGAGCCAAATGCAAGAGCTTCGACAGCGGGCTAAAGCCCTTTCTAACATGGCTGCCACTATGCCATATCGTCTGCCCTACGACACCAACAGGCGACTGATTCAATTGGAACTGGTAATGCACTAAAATAAAATTACTTTAAGGTATTGAGAGAACCAGTTATCTACTTCATTAGCATGAAAATGTACTCTTCCTCCTCATCACTGTCTGATTTAGCCTGCTGAGTTTCCTCTAGCTGCTGAATTTGAAGAAGGGCAGATGCCAATTGTTGTTTAAGATCAAGACAGTTAGAACAAGGATCAGGTGGACTACTCTTCTTGGAGCTTCCTTCGTCGATGCCCGAGTCATCGCTCTTGGTACACAATTTACTTCTTTTAGGAGACGATTTTTTGCTCTTAATGCACTTTCCCAGGGGATCTTCGCCTTCTGTTCCTAAATTAAGCTCTGGTATGGCATCTTTTTTGAGGTTGCCATTGCTATTGGGAAGATAATGTCGTCGAAAGTGTCTGCCGCAAATAAAAAGCCATTTGAGGTCCATCTCAAGGTGACAAATATCCATCCACTCCCTGCGAAGATTGGGATCCGAGGGAAAGAAATGCAATCTATCCGGAGGTGAACGTGAAGGACAATTCCTGACGCAACATTTCCGGACAAAATTGTTCTTTTTTGATTTAAAACCATGGTGCAAAACCCGTTTTTCACCTGAAATGTTAAAAGATAATAGTTCAGAGCTACTTGGGATGGCTTCTGTGAATGAACTTACCCAAAAACAGTGTGGGAACTGCCCATGAATAAACTTTAGTCTTACCAAAACACTGTGTCTCAAAATGACGCCTACAGACGCGAGTATTAAACCAGTTAATGTCTTTCACAAGGCCTATATTCTCCATCCATTTTTGTCTGATAACCGGATTTATGGGAAACTTGTACATGGACCTGCTATCCTGCTCACCACTCTCAAAACAATTTGTCACGACACAGCGAAGATTTCTATTTTTCATATTTTTTGGCAATTGATTTGGTTAGGGAAATGCTGGTAGGTGAAATGGAGAAAGCAACAAGTGTTGGTAGGCGTTTCAAAGGGTTAATTTGGGTCAAGATCAAAGGCTGGCTGGAAGTTGGTTGCCAAATTTTTTTTTGAAAGTTTTGGTATGTTTCCAAATTATATAAGACTTAATAAGGAAATGTGGCAAAGTTCAAAATGGAAATGGTAAAATTATATGAAATCGTACTTCAACAGAAATTATTCAAACAATAAATCGAATTTTTATGGTCACACACAAATAGGTTTGTGTCTTCAATAAGTATGGACGCAAGGCAAGATCATGTAGAAGTTCATAATTCAAGAAATTAACATAATATAGTGAATCATTGTAACCAGTTTAATTAGCACTCCAAAAATCTTAAATTGGTTTTTGTTTCTGTAATGATAATAAATAAATCGATTAATAGTTCAGCTCTTTGATAAAATTGGCTACATGTTAGTTATAGCTATTAGGAAAAAATAAATTACTTCATTTTAGGAAACTGAGACTATGTTTTAAATTTAATATATAGTGGCCTTTATGTTAATAACGATCCATGACTTACAAACCTCTTATTATAACTAATATACTCTCTCTAAAGGTATTACAATTTTTATGTTCCATTTACCCGTTTCATATTGTAGGTTAATCACGAAAATCTACGTTATCTTGACTTTGTTTATATTATTTCATTTCATTGATAATTTTACTGGACAAAGGATTGTTTAAAATTGAGTCCAAATGGAAACATCATCTGCCTCCGCTTTTTCCAGCTCGGACACCGCTGCCTTGGAACGGCAAACGGAAGCGGAGCAATCGGTAACTCTCGAACAAATTTGGAACGAAAACCACCGGAGAACGAGCACCGATTGGATTCGAAAAAATGGTTTTAAAAGAGTATGTATATCGATTATATTTGGGGTGTTACAACTAAAGTACCTCTGCCCAGGTTTGCCTGCAATTCCCGGACGACTATCTTCCACACAGCAATGCTATTAGTGTGGCCCTGACAGAGCTACTTGCGCTGGAGCAAGTGAAGGTCTTCATCCTTGCCGACACCACATACGGAAGCTGCTGCGTGGACGAGATTGCGGCTGCCCATGTGGATGCAGACAGTCTAATACACTTCGGGAATGCCTGCCGCAGCAAGGCATCCCGCTTGCCTGTGCTTTACCTTTATCCAGAGTTGGTGCTAGATGTGGGTCTCCTCTTGAGTAAACTACAAAGCCTACGTGCAGAATGCAAAGATAGGCAGCTTTGCGTCTACCTGGACATTGGATATCAGCATATCCTTAATGAACAACTGAAGAAGCATCTAAAAGAGGCTCTGGAACCCAAGGATTTCGTTTTGGAGTTATTTCCACCCATCGAGGCAGATTCAATAGCCTCTAAGGAAAGTACGAGCCTCGAGCGCATTTGCATTTTTGTTGGCGCCGATAACCAGCGTTTCGCCAATCTTTCCTTAACTGCTCCAGCTGCTGTTCAGTGGCATATCTATGATGGTGCCTCTAGCAATCTCAGCTCTAAGAATCCCCTTACGGCTCAGTTTATACGACGTCGCTATTTCCATATCGAAAAGTGCAAAGATGCTCAAACTCTAGGACTGATCGTGGCCACTCTTTCGGCTGAGGGTTACCTAGATGTGGTGACGCGTTTGCAAACGATGGCAAAAGGTAGAGGCATTAAGACTCAGCTTATTTCTGTGGGCAGGATAAATCCTGCAAAACTGGCGAACTTCCTGGAGATCGATTGCTTCGTCTTGATCGGTTGCCCCTTCAATAATATGTACGACTCCAAGGAGTACTATAAGCCGATAGTTTCCGTCTTTGAGGCTGAAATGGCTCTGAACCCCGCTTGGCACATGAGATATCCCGAAGCCTATGTCACGGACTTCAAACAACTTTTACCAGAGGGTCGCAGCTTCCTGCCTTTTGATGCCGCAGATATACCAGAGCACGATGTCAGCTTAGTTAGTGGTAGACTAAGAGGAACGGTCAACGAATGCCTGGAGACAGCAGGAGATCCCGCTTCTCTAGCGTTGGCAACACAAGCCAAAATGTCATTGATGACCACGGACACGGGGCTCTCGTTCGAGGATCGCACATGGCAGGGATTGGACCCCGCACTGGGCCAAACAGAGCCCGCCCAGCTGCAGCAGGGTCTCAGCGGTATTCCTATTAACTACACACATCAATAAAGGGCTAGAACATCTTGTATAACTGTTAGTATTATCGGTTTACTGATCCTCTGCGGGCGAAATTTTCTTTTGAATTAAACTACAATGTCCAACAATAGTGGGGGTGGAACCTCTTAGACCCTCAGCCAGTACATGGAGGAGCGAATTCTATTGTAGTCGGGCAGGTTCTCAACAGGACCCACGGCAGCGACGGCTGGGCACCGGTCGTAGATGTACTTCATCGCTACATCGCGCACATTGCCTACACTCACGGCATCAATGCGCTGCTCCAGCTCGTGAAGTGGGATGCGGCGGTTGTAGCACAGGATCTGGCGGCCAATATCTTCGCAGATGGGCGTGGTGCCGTCCAGCTGCAGCAGCATGTTGGTCTTCAGTAGGTTCTTGGCGCGTTCAACCTCGGCCTCGGTGACCATGGTGCACAGGCGCATCCACTCGGTCTGGACGTTGAAGAGCATGTCCTGGGGATAAGTAACAAGCAGATCAGAGATGCCATTATATAATCTTTATTACTTGCCACTCACCTCACACTGCAGAGGATCGCAGACAAAGTAAATACCCCAGAGACCGGTGTCCTTGTAGCATGTGTTAAACGACTGGAAGCTGTGGCAGAGGTCTGTATGGAAAAATTAGTTATTAATAAAAAAAATTATAGTAGCTTTTTTTTGTCAACTTACTGTCCTCAGCGCTGGCACGGGCCAGGTTGGAGGCGTTGTTGGCGCCACCACCCTGGGAACGATCCCAGGCTCCCACCAGGGTGTTGGCCACCATCAGGGGGATGTTGTCCTGGTCGGTCCAGCCGCAACCCTCGACAGCGATGGCCACATGGGCCAGGGGCAGGGAATCGTCGCGCACGCGCACCTCGGAGCCGGTGAAGCGGCATGGGGTCACCTCAGGGGGCAGCACACTAGCCTCTAGGCCTCCCAAGCTGCCGCAGGCCAGCTTGACCAAATCATCGTGCTTAACTCCGCCAGCGGCGGCCAGAACGATGCGCGAAGCCTTATAATGGGTCTGGATGTAGTCGGTCAAGTCGGATTTGCCAATAGACCTAAAAAATTTAAAATATTAGTTGGTACTGTAAGTTTATAATGGTTAATCGAAATACGCACTGAATGTTCTTGGTGGGTCCCAGGATGGTCTGGCCCAGAGGAGTGCCCTGGTAGGCGGTGGCGTGCAAGTGATCGAACACGACTTCCTGCAGGTTGCTCTCCACCTCCTGCATTTCGCGCAGGATCACCGAGCGCTCGCGGGCGATCTCAGCCTCACCCAGCTTGGAGTTCTGGATGATGTCGGCCAGGATTTCAACGGCCTTTGGCACATCCTTGGACAAACACTTGGCGTAGAAGACGGTCTGCTCCCGGGAAGTGTAGGCGTTCAAGTGGGCGCCAAGGTTCTCAACCTCCAACTCCAGATCCGTTTGCGAGCGCTTGGCAGTGCCCTAAAAGTGGCAGAAACACTGAATTCTAAAATTTCTAAGGACTTAAATAGTGATTCCACCTTGAAGGCCATGTGCTCCAGAAAGTGGGCCACACCGTTGTTCTTCTCGTTCTCGGAACGGGAGCCAGCATCGATCCAAAGTCCGACGGTGGCGGTGGAAGCGCCGGAGTCCTCGCTAGCCACGCGGAGACCGTTGTCCAGCTTAGTCACCTGGGTGGCAGGTATGTTCAGCAGAGTCTTCTGCAGTGTGGCAGCCGACTTGTAGCGCTGCAAGATTAAAAAAATGGGAAAAACTTTAGTTCAAAGTTAAGTAAAACACGAACATAACCTCAAAGTGATTTTAAGAGGTTTTCTTAATAGATTTAACAAGTTTTCGTCAAAAATACTTTCTGGCTGTTCAAAACCCAACCGAAAGCAGTTTGTTTATGCATATTCTTAAAACCCTTAAGCAAAAACAATGACAAGAACGGTAGCATTTACAATTACGTAATTTAAATCCTGTGGAGCGTAATCATTCGGTGGCTCCCTGGGCTTACCTTGATCATGTCAACACCCCGCATGAAGGTGCGCATATTCTGCGTCACGCCAATAACTCGCAACGCCATCGTTTAGTTAAATCGTTCAATAGCCTATTAACTAAAAAATATTAAAGACTTTTTCGTCTATCGCCGCGTCGCTGATGAAAAACTACACACACACACACAGACGTACTGCTATGCGTTAAGTTGGCTGCGGGCAATCAGCTGTTCTCGGAAAGCAACCCAGGTGTGTACACACTGCCCACGGTAGCAATACAATTTTCTCGTTTTTTTCTGGCTTTCCCGGATTTCTATTGAAATAAACATTTAATTTGGATAGCTAACACAAAAATCTTGGCCAGCGTTTAAAGCTAGGCCTACTTTTTACCCAATGGCGGGCAATTTTTGGCAAAGTTCGCACTCGCAGCAGTGGATTTTGGACAAACCTGATCTACTCAGGGAGCGTCAGCACGATTTGTTGGCTCTAAACGAGGATGAATACCAAAAAGTGTTTATATTCTTCGCTAATGTAATCCAGGTGTTGGGCGAGCAACTAAAACTGAGGCAACAAGTCATCGCCACGGCAACAGTATATTTTAAGCGGTTCTATGCGAGGAACTCCCTGAAGAATATCGACCCTCTGCTGCTAGCGCCCACCTGCATCCTGTTGGCCTCGAAGGTGGAGGAGTTTGGTGTCATTTCCAATTCCAGACTAATTTCGATTTGCCAGTCGGCAATTAAGACTAAGTTCAGCTATGCATATGCTCAGGAGTTCCCCTACCGTACAAATCACATTCTGGAGTGTGAGTTTTACCTGTTGGAGAACCTGGATTGCTGCTTGATTGTTTACCAACCGTATCGACCGCTGCTGCAGCTAGTCCAGGACATGGGTCAGGAAGACCAATTGCTCACCCTTAGCTGGCGCATTGTTAACGATTCCTTGCGCACCGATGTCTGCTTGTTGTATCCTCCCTATCAGGTGGGTGATCCAAAGCAGCTTCCCAACGTCTTATCTCACTAAGTTATTCTTTTTAGATCGCCATCGCCTGCTTGCAGATTGCTTGCGTCATCCTCCAAAAGGACGCCACTAAGCAGTGGTTTGCAGAACTAAATGTAGATTTGGATAAAGTCCAGGAGATCGTTCGCGCCATTGTCAATCTGTACGAACTGTGGAAGGACTGGAAGGAGAAGGACGAGATTCAAATGCTGCTTTCTAAGATTCCGAAACCAAATCCACCGCCACAGCGCTAAAAATGGCTCAGTTATTTATACTTCTAGCTCATATTGCCTAACTATTTGTATGTCTTCATCTTACCTATTTATGTCGATGAAATAGAGGTTTAAGCTATATAATATTAAGCAACTCATACTTCAAAAATATAAAGCGAGACTTTTATGCAAGTCATTTTGTTTTTTTTACTTTATTGTCTATTACTATAAGTGTATGAAATTTGAACTGATCTTTGCCTAAAAAAACTTATGCATTTGCAAATTACTTATTTCCAAGATATAATCAAGTAATTCTGAAAATTTGAATTTCTGTATTTTGAAAAAGTGGCCTTTTGCGGTAGTTATTTTTCCATTACTACTACAGATACTTGGCTTGACCTCTGGAGAACTTGGTGTTGAGTATTTTGGCCTTATCCACTATCTGCTTGGTTTGGTTTTTGTCGATTTTGTTAAGCTTCAAGTCCACATCCCTGCTAAAAGGTCTTCGTTCTGGCTTTGAACCCGAGGCAGCCAATTCCTTTTCCTAAAACATATAAAATTGAGAAATGTAAATAATATAAATTAATATAATTTTCACCTTTTCTCGCTGTTCCTTTCTCAGCTTTTTTTGATGCAGATCCATTAGAGACTCATCACGTTTGTGCTTCTTTTGTGTTTTTTTAGCCATGCTCTCCTGTTCATCATCGCGCTGCTGCTCGTATTTGGCTTGGGCCATTTGCTCCAGTTCCTTGGAGCTAAGAGACTTAGGACCCGATGCAGCAACAGCGGTTTCACTCTGGGGTGTCTTCGTCCAGGATGATCGATCGCTAAAGTCGGGACGCTCTTTTCCTTGGTAGAAAGTGCGCTTCATGTTATTGAGGGCGGCAAGACCGCTTTTTAAGCCCACATCCGGCAGCTCCAGCATCCACTCTTCGCGCGCATCTTGGTCTGTTGTTGTACCCAATCCTCCGCCCTCCAAAGCTGCCAGTTTGAGGGCCAGAGCACGCTCCTCTAGGGCCACTTGGCTCGCGTTCGGTAGTGGGCCAAAGGTGCCAGCGAGATCATCATCATCTCCCCCAGAATCATTTTTAATAGGAGATTTTTCTTTGACCAAATTGCTGGGAAGGATAGGTCCTATCATTGCCTGCGGTTCTAGTCTGCGCTCTTCTGAGATTACCGGCTGACTAGACTTTCTTAAATGCGGTGGCAGGGCAGGACCAAATGCATCTTGGCTATTTGAAGGCAAATCTGGTGGAGAAATAAAAGCAGCAGGTTGCGGATTGGGCACACGCCTTTCGTCCTCCTGCCTACTGCGCTTTTTCTCCTTGTGGCGACGCTTCTCCTTCTTGTGTTTCTTTGACTTTTTTTTTTTTGACTTGTCAATATCTTTGCTGTGCTTCTTGTGCTTCCGTTTGCGGTGTCTTTCGTCACTAGAGGAACTGCTGTCACTACTACTATCGTCGCTAGACATGATCTGTAAAGAAAATGAATAAAGTAATGAATATAATTGTTAATAAAAATGTATATATTGTAATTAATGAATATGTGAATAAACTGAATTTTTTTTTATTACGTTTCCGATTTCCTTTGGGATTAAGAAATATTTAATATTTCTGCTAGTGACTTCATCAAAATCATCCAAATTCGTTCTGAGATCCCCAAGAAAACTCAGTGTTTGTTTTGGACTAAACATATATTGCAGTTAACAACTTTGAAGCTTAAAATTATTTAACGAAATGCAGCTAAATGGCACAACTTAGTCGGTAAATTATCAGCCTGTGGATAATCCAAAATAAAATTTACACAGCGAAGGTTTTTTGAGCCTTGCGGTAGCTGTAGACCAGGGACTTGAGAACTCCTGCACTGGGAATATTTTTGATCGATTGCGTGACGCTGCTGCGCCAAACAATATCGTTGACAGATGCCTGCAGCACCTCCGGCAGCTGGGAGGCAACGGAAAGATGATCCACCACCTCGGCGTAATCTCCACGACAGGCAGCATTTCGTTCTAACCGCTTCCTAAGTTCACCGGGCAATTGTCGTAGGTGTTGAGACGTAGCGGCTGAGGATTTGTCCTGCTCAAACAGAATGGCTGGTTTCCGACTTCCAGGCTCGTGGCCTTTCATGTTAACTGCTACATACTTGCTAAGTTGACCCAAAGAAGGTTGGTACAAAGCAAAGAAGTCATTGATTTGTGGATTAACGATGTTGTGCACCTTCCGCTTGTTTTCCCCGAAGATCATGCGGAAATCCCCTTTGTAACTCAATCCAGCGATTGTTAGAAAAAGATCATATGCCGTGAACTTTTCCGGTAACAATAGCAGCGCCACTTGCAAAGCTGACAAAAGGTTCCTGTCCAGAGCAGCCTTCAGGGGCGGGTTATCTGAGGGATTCACCAGATTCGTAACGGGTTTGTGAAGTCTGCCTGCTAGATAGAGATGCCGCCAGTCCATCAGATCCTCTAGCAGCTGTTCTTGCGACACCACGCCATATTTTATGGTAAGACCTACATCAGCCAGTGGGACTAAAGTATTGCAAAAAACGCCGGCACCCAATCGCTCCTGATATTTAGCCACGAAGCTCGGTCCCAGGTGCCTTAATGCAGAATAATGCTCCGGATGGCGGTGTAGGTTCTCCGCATGGAAGCCGTGAGCATCTCGTACGCAAAAAACCAGATCTACAACGCTTCCCGGCGCCGGACGATAACCATTTCCATTGCCCAATTTTTCATATCCTTCTTGTTGTTTGACTCCGGAGCCGTAGGCAAACATGTAGCTGACGCTTCCCAGGGGAAATCGAGCCACAGTGCGCCTGTATAGGTCTAACATCTTGTGGGTAGGCGGACCTCTAAAACAGACTTAACTTAGGTTGAATAATTACTTTTTTAGCACGTAACTCCGTTTCTTCTTCCTGGAGTTTACTCTTCTTCTTCTTACTCTTTGTTATTTTGCCGGGGGAGGTGTGTGCAGACTGGCAATCAGCTGAGAGTAAAATAGCACGATCTTTTCTTAATTACTACTATTTCCAAGCGCGACCTAAAAAACACTTTTTTAATTTAGTTTATATACTGTGTGCATCACAAGTTTTTTAGTATATTGAAATTTTAATTTATATTTTAGACATAGTTCTCTAACCAGTGTTCTAAAGTTTTTGTCGGAGGCTACCTTAAGCAATGCAAGAACAAAAGCTTGTTAAAGGCTGCAAATATTTGTTATGGTTTTTTACCGATTTTCCTTAATTAGAAAAATAAGATCGAAGCAGGTTTAGTCACTATTTGAACATTACGAAATCATCATTCCAAATTTGTCTAAAATTTTAAAATAACCACTTCCTGATATCGATTTAAATCGATTGCGGTTAGCGCCGTGTAGTGCTGTATAGTGATCAAATTTCGCCGCCGGTAGTGTTGACAAACTCTAAATTCTAGCTGTTGTTATTCTCAAAAAAGAAGAAGAGAAAACACGCACATTTTTCACAATCTGTAAAACGAAAAAAAATTTGTACGGATAGAACACTACAAATTCGACAAAGAAACATTTAACAGACATGCCGCGACCCCTGAAAAGAGTTCACCTGGAGGCCAATGAGGAGGAGCAGTCCCAGGCTGATCAGCCTCAGGTCGAATCAGCTGCAGAAGACGTCGAGGCATTCACAAACGTGGGTAGAAAATCTACATTTATTATGATTATATCTAAACATTTTTCGAACTGATTTTTCAGCAAGCTTTCAGGAATGTAGTTAGGGCCACAAGGTCAGCAAATGCTTTTCCCCAGGGAACCTCCCGAGCCTTATACTTCAGCTATCCGGGCTACGCACGTGTCATGGACGACCTGTCCCAACGTGTGGTTGGGCTCATTGGAAACGTACTCAAATCCAAGGAAATCAAAGGCGACATCAGAAAGTAAGTATTAGCTAATGGCGGAGTGTATTTCATTAATCAGTTTTTGGTATTAATTTTCATTACTTAATGCAATTAGTTCTGATATTCTGATTGTAAGCTTTGGAATTCACCCACTTGTTGAAGTTCAGTATACTTAAAAGTTTTTATAGAAATTAACATATGGTCATAGACCTGGACTGAGGTCTACAATATACATAATATTTGTATAGTATGTTCATAAATGTAAATTTAAATAATAAATTAACTTCTTTCCGAAACAGACGTCAACTAGATGAGCAATTTGAGATGGTGCAGGAATGCAATGACATACTGTTCGAGCGCATCACTACCAATCTGGACATAAAGAGCGGTCTGCGCAGGAATCACCATCAGGTCGTGGAGGCACAGGTCGACGTGATGACCTCTACCTCGGCAGAACCAGCAGTTTCTTCCCTACAAACACAGGAGACTCCAAAAGCGGGAAGCTGGAACAGGACGACAGGAACGCCCCAACGCAACATGGTTTCCGCTCGCCTTTTTACGGCAAAAAACATTGTTCGTCCGCAGACGCAATTTAAGGAGCCAGTTGATAACAGTGCTCAGAATCCGTTTACACCCAGGCTCAAGGAAAAACCGAATTCATTAAAGCCGTTGGCACTATTGCCTGAATATGATGATGCAGGAAACGTGCAATCTTATTTGCATCCCTACGAGTTTGAGCTGCTTAAGTTTCAACCTCCCGCGGATCAACTTCAAAAACAGAATCCAGTACTTCCAGATCTGATGGCAAACACAGAGCTTATGCTGGTAGACACGGTTGAGAAGCTACATCAGGCCTTAGAGGAGTTAAGCCAAGCGCCCCAGATAGCCATCGATGTAGAGCACCATTCGTATCGCACTTTCATGGGTATCACTTGCCTGGTCCAGATGTCTACGCGCACCAAGGATTACATTTTTGATACGTTAATTCTGCGCGATGATATGCACATACTGAATCTGGTTCTTACCGACCCTAAAAAGCTAAAGATCTTACACGGCGCTGATTTGGACATTGAGTGGCTGCAACGGGATCTATCATTGTATATTGTCAACATGTTTGATACACATCGGGCGGCAAAAGCATTAAACATGGCCAGGCTATCGCTGGCCTTTTTGCTGAAGCACTATATAGATTTGGATGTGGACAAGAGCCTGCAGCTGGCCGATTGGCGGATGAGGCCACTACCTCAGCAGCTGGTGGACTATGCCCGTCAGGATACCCACTTTTTGATATACGTCTACGAACGGATGACAAACGATCTGCTGCAGCAGCAGGCCGAACCGGGATTACTTGGCAGTGTTTATCAACAGAGCACAGATGTGTGTAAGAAGCGGTATAACAAGCCTCACATTGGACCAGAATCATATATGGATTTAGTGCGGAAAACGAAACGTTGCTTCGACAACCGCCAGCTGTACGCATTACGTGGAATCTTCGAGTGGCGCGATGCGACGGCGCGGTCAGAGGATGAGAGCTATGGCTATGTGCTCCCAAACCATATGATGCTTCAAATCGCCGAGAGTCTGCCAAGGGAGATGCAGGGTATCCTTGCTTGCTGCAACCCCATCCCACCGTTGGTGCGTCAACAGCTGCATGCCCTCCATCAGATTGTCCTCAAGGCGCGCGATCAGCCGCTGGTTAAAGTGAGTTTCCCAGCGCTTTCAAGCAGCGCCTGCTACGCTTTGAATGTTGGTTCCTATCCCGAAATGTTTTCATTATCCATTAATTGTAACTAAAAAAAAAAGTTAAAATGAAGAGTATTTCTCGACTTCACCACATTATGTAATTAATTTAAAAACCTTATTTGGGCTGAATGCCTTGTAGACTTAAGGTTATTGAGTGTGTTTTTGTCCTATAATTATAACTAATTACCTATTGCAGCCAATCCTGGAAGCCCGCAGCAGCACACAGGCATCATTGCCGCCTTCGACAAAAGACTTTACCAGCAAGCTCTACTGTCCGCACGACTTTTCGCACCAGGATGAGACCCGCGACGACCTGCCCACACTATTAAAGCGCAGTTCTACTTCAGGCAAACTCGAGCTGCCCAGTGAGAAAAATGTTCACAAAGAAGATCTACCCATTGCGGCTCCAGCAATGGTTCTGTTTGAGAAGCCTGCTAGACCCACCCTGGAAGAAGAACAGCGCTGGGCCCATCTTCGCAAAGAGAGTCAAAACCTGCGCATGCCCTACAAACGGTATCTTGCTATCCTTCCGCTGATGGTGCAGATAAAGGCTGATCAGATCGCCAAGGAGCGCAATGAGTTGCTAAAGAGGCGTTTGTGTCCAGCAGAAGCAGCTCCGGAGCAAAATATAAGGCTAGCAGAACCTGCTTCCAAGCAAGGCGAGGAAACCATGTACTCCGTGCCGCTTAGGGAACAACTAAAACGCAAACACCAAACGAACAGCAAAACGGATCCGGATCAGCAACCGACTACCAGCAAGAGATCCCGCAAGGATGAAAACACACAACCGAGTGTTAAGCCAGGGACGCAGGTGAAGATAGAATCCGCCGAGGTTGCAAATCAAGTCCCTCGAGAAAGCGATGACGAGGTCGTCGAAGTTCCTATTGCAAGGCAACCCACAGAGATACCGAAACCTCCGTCAGTACTGAGCAAACGGCAGAAAAAGCAAAAGTATTTCCAGAGCGGTTTTAAGGCTAAGAATCGCGGAAATCATCCACAAAGCTCCAGTATCAAAATTCCGCAGATGAAGGCTGAAGGCAACTTTGACTATAAGAACGTAGACTTCCGGCAATTCAAGGGCGGAGCGCAAAGAGCTCATGGAACGGAAATCAAACATCAAATTCGCGGAAAGGTAAGTGTTCTTCTTTGTTTCCGTTCCATTTGGTTTTACAAAGATTACATTTAAACCTAAAACTATAAAATCTGTAAATCGGATTCTAATAACTTAATATTTTTTTTTATAGAACCGTCCCAACAACCGCTCCAATAAGCAATTTAATAAACTTTTTACATTTAGCAATGTAAAAAAAGATGGCAAAAAATAAATTGCAATTACGACGAAAGTCTGTAAAATATATATGTTTATATATTTTAAAGATGATGACTCAATATAAGATACAAAAACCACCAAAAATGAATTAGACAAGAGTTTATTTTTGATTGTTTATACACTCTTCCTATAAATTTTTCAAGTTTTCTAAAATATTACCTATTAAATAACAATCGGCTTGTGTGTGAAACTATTCATTAAACTACACTATCGAATACGATTTTCAAGGTTCGTTTAGCAGCATCAACAATTTTCTGAGAATAATCTAAGATATCTATCAATTGATAGCCTTATTTCCATTAAAAAGATTATCATGGTAAGTGTCATGCTAATGGATTTGTCCGACTTTTCATATTACAATTTAGGCCATGTCATGTTTTTGTTGACTTATTTCCTTAATTGGAAGGCATCACGGGTTTTCAAACTTCAATTTGACTTAATTTCTTTTTTATATATATTTTTGGGAAACAGTTATTAAAAAAAAATGTTTTTGAGGAGAATATAGACAGCCGTCGAGGGAAAACATTGACTAAAATTATTTGATAAGTTTCTAGCTAATTTTAGCTAAGTTCTTAAGTAGGATTTGGAAAGTTATTTCCGTTAGCTCTAACGATGGCTCATTTTGAATCAACAACCATATTAGCCTTAATGTAAAGCTTGAACTACAGAGTTTTGAACATCTTATCGCCCTCGATGTCCATACAGTGCTCAACAACAGCATAGACTACTAGAAGACGACGCTCCACTCCTTTTTTGTGTTTGTCAGTGATAAGTGGATAGAGAGCATCCTGTTTGGACAGCCGATCAACGATTTCCGTGAGCACACCTCCGGAGAAGACCTGCAGGCGATCCCATGTTGACTTTCGCAGGCTAAATGTTATCCTTGTGAATTGGTTTATTTATATTAGTGCGGTCAAAGACTTACAGGCAGCATTGGTAGAGTGGCGCCAAGATATCCAAGTGGTCCTTGTTCGGATTTCCAAATGACTTGCCATTATCGATGAGAACTACACGCTCCTCCCGCGTCTCATAGTGATGACGATCCCCATTCTGAATTAGGTAATCAAAAATGGCAGCATCTATAAGATCCAGAAGGCGCATTGTCTCCATTTTATTTTTCAACGACCTGAAAGATTTGTTTTATATTCGGATATTGAAATGGTATGAGGGACTTACTTGCAATATGTCATGTCATCCTCCCAGGGCGCCCTCTTGTCCTCCTTGTAGGTGCGCTGCCATGGTGATCGCCTCTTTGCCATTGTTCCCGGAATAATATAGATGAGTACACCTTCAATATTGTGCCTCTCATCACCGCAGACAGTCTCTTCTTCGTTGCAGTAATGGCATTTTCCGAACAAGCAGTACTTTTCCTTGCCATCCTCATCCGTTTCGATGTTTATGGTTTGCTGGAGCTCCTGATCACCATTGGCATAGATCTCCCTTTTTAAATTCACTACTCGACCCACAACAATGGGTGTCCATCGAAAGTCAAGCACGGCGCCCAAATAGAAGGCATATACTTCCGCTGTATGTCGATCCTTTCCGCTGTACACCGTGCCCTCAATGACCTCGTCCCGCGGATACCACTGAGGCTTGAAGATCACTTTTTGTTGGTTGGACAGGCGCATAAGCAGCTTCAGCTGGGTTCCGCGTCCCAGGTTGCTTACCCTGGTAATCGGTTCGCGGCGCAATGTTTCCAAAAGCTGTCCCATCGAGGAGTCGTATAACGGATACACCTCGTTTTCATGTGGCCACTAAAAGAGGTTTATGGGTTTTTATCGTTTAAACCGTATTAAAATTTCTTACCCAATTCGCAATGTCCCAAAGAACGCTGGCGTTTTCGTAGCTCGCCGCCTTGTAGTTTTTTAGCAGCTTGTTGCGGAACATGAAGAACCGTGGATTGCGATTGAGGTAGTTGGGTTTCAGGTGGCGCATCTTATGGCGGATCATGTTCTCCAGAGCCCGAACGCTTGCTAGATGACCCTCCTCGGCGCTCAGGTAGTACATGAAGTAGAAATTGGCACCGAGCACCAAACCCAAAAGGCTGGCCACGATTCCCGCGATAATGACGCTGCGCTTGTTCATCCTGCAGCCTGGGCGATAGCCTATTTTTAATATTACGTATACGCAACGGCAGCAGCACTAGCAAATTGCTCAACTCTAGCCGAAATGTTGATATGGCCGGGCTGCCACAGTGGCATGCTGCTGTTGTTGCTGATTTTCTTGTAATTGTTGCTATTGTACTAGCAATATTTGCTACAGGTCTTGCAATTGTTGCTGCTGCTCTAGCAATTCTGCTAATGTTGCCCTTCCTTTTGCTTTCGTTTTTTTTTTGGCAGACATCGGCTAACAACTGTTTGCATCAGTCCATTGTTGTGCAAATTAATTGTGCCCGCATCTAAAAACGTGTATACATTAATTAAATTGTCAATACTATGTAGACCAAAATGAGTCCTTTTCCGGGTTCTAGTTTGTTTTGCTTACCTACTGCAAGTTAATCAGATCCGGTCAGTTGTTTACATCGGTTGACCCCGGTAAACCTCGAATTCTTGGCAATTAGTCTACAGATTGAAGTTTCCGGGTTGAGATAGGAATGCTTCTAAGAATATAAGAAAATAAATTAGATCAAAGGGCTGAGTATCACTCTTTTTAATTACAGATTAATATAGCCTTAAAATTTTATATCTTCTTTAACTTACGGATCCCGTTCGAGTACTCGGATTATGATATTGGATATGTCCTGTTCCTGGTACAAATGGCTTCGTGTTTAACTTACAAGAATCTTGGCCACAACTGCCCAATAAATCTTGTGCTTCCTCTTCTGCTGCCTCTTTAATTGGCCGCCGCCTTGTTTTTGGCCAACATCCACATTAACACACCGATCTGCACGCATTCAAAAACGGGAAACAAAGAATTTCACCGCCGCACTTAGGTCGTCTCTCTTGTTTGGTGGATCGGGTAAAAATAGCATTTGTTTATATCGGTGAAAATGGGAAAAACGTGTCTTTTCCGACCGGCCGAGGAAAATCACAACAAAAAGTGTAACGAACGGTAAATAAAAAACAGCTGATGCAAAACAATTGAAGCCCTGGATGATATGAGCTTATCTATCTGGCAACGCCACAAGTGCCCGCTAAATTCAATTTGTGAAATATATTTGTGGGAACTCACAGGTGGGCGAAAGTTAATCAAAAAAGTTAATACGGCTAAAGGTCATCGCACAAAGTAGCTGGGGTGTAAAGAATAAAAGTGCTGAAACACATTTAAGTTATTATAAACACCCACACTTGCAAATTGCACAGCTGAGCCCATGCGTGTACACTGAAACTATAGTTGGATATCTTTGACTTTCCATTGTTAAAATAATATTCGGTGTGGTGTACTAACTACACCTTAACATATAGTATCGATACATATCCTTCGTGTGTTAATAATAAAAAAAAAATTAAAAATTAAAATTATTATTTGTTTAGCTTTGCTTAATATTTTTCAGAAAATGTTATCCTTACCCATTTTTCTAGAGTGTAGATTTACGTGAAGTTGGCTTAGTTATTTTTCCCATCGACGGGGTTAGATAGGGAGGGTTCACCTTGCTTTGGGGCTCCCACTGGAACAGAGCGCATAAACTGCGCCCACTCTTCAACCGGAAGAAAGCAGAAAAAGGGATTGAATGGGGAGCGAATGTTAGGGTAAGGAGGAGAAAGTCGACGAGAGGCATCCCCGGCCACATATGGCGCAAAATAAACCGACAAATGATAACGGCACTCGAGCAAACAACAATAAAGGATGAAAAGCACGAAAATCGAGTAAATGAAAGAAATAATGGTGTTGGGAATGTACAACAAGTAACAAAACGCACGAACGTGTACATACATCCTCCAACCTTTTTCTTTTTTTTTTTTCTTTTTCTTATCCTAAAACACCCACTTTTCTCACCGTTTCCCGACCCTCCGAAAATTCAAATGCCGACAGCATCCGCCGCCACATTTGTTGTTGGCCTGGGAAATTCAAACGTAGTTGGCGGCCAGAAAGTAACACCCTCAGTGTCGACGCATTACGATTACAGTTTAATTTAGCCCACAAGTATATTCACTAAGAGAAATAAATTTGGCGAAAACTAACAAAATATTTAGCAATTAATGAAATTTTGTTATCCTTTCCCCAAAAAAATATCAATGTTGCTAGATTATTTTAAACTATTCTGTTTTCTATTGACATTTTTAATGCTTAAAATGATTATATTTATTTCCCAATTAAATATTTTAATTATTTTTATTAATTTTTGAATCGTCTTTGAATCTGTACCGAATTATTTAAAGTGCACATAGTGAGTACTCAAGTTCCCGAAAATGCTTGCTTTTGTTTTTATTGCTTGTCGGTTCACGTGGAGGGTGCCTAACACATATTGAAGTAAGCCAATTTCAGAGTCTCGTTTGTGTTGGCCAAGTTAATCATAAATGAACCTAAAATGCATATGTGGAAGCCATTTAAGGCTTCAGTTAAAAGGTCAAATGGTTTGGTATATATTTCAGGCTTAAATCATATTTAATAACCAAAAGACATATTTAATTGATTTTCATCAGCATCAATTCGGAAAGTATAACTTATAAGTAATTTACGTTATAAAAATGTATAACCTTCACTATTAAGACATATATCTTATTAACAGCAGTACATTTCCAATTAATATCAATTAGGAATCCACTAGGATACCACCGGCTCAGCCAAGTGAAAAGGGCCAAATAAACAAAACTAAACAATTCAATTAGGAAGCAAATTGTGGAAAGCCAAAGGAAGTACAGTCTTTAGTAATTGGGTCAGATGTCGCTAACGAGCAATGACAATTACACAGAAGGCAAAAGGCGAAAGCTGATGGGAATTTCGAACGAATCAATTTGGAATTTAAGAAGGAGGTTCTCCATGACGTGTGTGCAAGTAATGAGCTTTCAAAATAGTAACCAGAAATTAGGAATTAATTTGCACATAAATGTATAGATATGAAATTGGAAAAAAAATGTAAGCAGCCTAATTTCGTTTTTTTATATTTAATATTTGTATAGGTTTTATGGTATAGGTATACTTTATCCTTTTAGTTCAGATCTTGTGCCTTAAATTGTTAGTTAAAATTATACTTACGTTATTTATTTGTATGATAATAATAAATAAGTTAGTATATTTACTTACTTAAAAGGGAAAACCTCTTTAGGCATCCTTGACAATCATTGTAATTAACACAAAATCTGCTTCAACATAATTTACATTTTTATTGCCATTTACACTTCTCTTACCTTCTTTTTAACCAGAAGCTGAGAAAAAATCAATTAATTCATACACCATCCCAGATGGAAAAGCTACATACCGCGTCGTGTTAATTGCCCATGTGCCCCAATTCCTGGGTTTTTGTTAGCTGTTTTTGTTTGTCGTCTCTGGATGGCGTTTTCCTTAATGGCTGCCGCTCTTATCTGGCCTCTCATGCGTTTTGTAATTAATTGGCAGTCATTTTACTGCCGTGGAACGTTGTCATAGGTCGCTCAGCACGTGCTGGTCGGAGTAGGCGGAAAAAAGTGGGCGGAATGGATCGACCAAATGATTAATTACAATTTAATTTGTTTGGCATTTAGACGCGCTTTAAACGTTGAGTAGGAAATAATTCCAGGACGATGACAAAATGTCCATCAACCTCATTTCTCCCAAAGGCATTATTTAATTTTCAATATTTGTTTGCCAGACGTTCCGGCCAATAAATTTTGTCTCTGCCTTCAATTTATTATGTTTGTTGCATATTTAATTGAATTTTGCTTCACAATACAACGGGGATCTTTCTAATTAATTGTTTTTTCTTTGTCTTTCCTTGTTTTGATTCGCTTTTATCTTCATTTTTCGTTTTGTTTGCGACTCTGTGTTTGTTTGTTTGGCCACCAAAAATATGCAAATTCGGGCTTATGAAAATGCCTAAGGATTGGGCCTACAAATTATGAGTACACAGAAAGAACTTTTAAAATAAGTTTTGAGAACGTTTTCTCTATAATTTGTTGATTTAACATAAAAAGGTTATATATTCAGATTAAGTATACTCTTAAGGCAAGCTTAGTATTTTGTGTCCAAGTGTCCTTAAGCAATTAATAAAAATTTGTTTGACATCGCGACCAATATATTAAAGAATAAGCAGCCTTAAAGGTTGAGCTTCAGATTTGATTTCAGAGTAAATCTGTTAAGATTTTTAGAGACAAATTCGTTAGATGGACGGCACTTGAGGACAAGCTTGTCAGGATGATGCCTTTTTTCTGCTTTCCGCTGGTGCAACAAAAGGACATGAAAAATGGGCAACAATTTGGGACCCAACATGAAATTAACTCATTCGTTGTGGCCTAGAATAACAAAAGACACTCGCACACACACACACACACACACACACTGCCATACATTTCACATACACACACATACACCCATAACACCAGCAGTAAATAGACGCCACTAAGGTCAAGCAACGTCATTTTTCAGACGGTCAAACAAAAAAAAAAGTGAAATAAAGAAAAAAAAGGAAAATAACTCGGCTTCAAGTGCCGCCACACGAAGAATTTAATGTGTCAGAGTGTTGGGTCTAGAATGTGTCTGTGTGAGTGTGTGTGTGCTGGTAATGTGTGTGAGCCAAAACACATGCTCGGCCAGGAGGAAAATATAAACAAACGCCCACGTAAAAGCTTCGCGCTCCTTTCAGCCCGAAAAACTATGCCACGGAAAAAGCTCTGTGCGTAAAGCTGAGGAGCAACAGTTTCGCCAGAGAGAGAGAGAGCAGCAGCCCTATTCGCTGGGTGAGAGTGAACGAGTGTATGTGTGTGAGCCCGTTTCGGGCCGCCCAGGACCTTCTGGTGCTTTTATCGCCTGTGGAGCAACGAGCTGTTGCTCCGCTTTTTTGGCCAGTGCCTGGATTGTTGTTGGCGCGTTAACAACGCGTCCCTGGAGCGCGCGTTTTTTCTCACTCATTCGTTTTTCGGTTCGAGCGCTTTTTTTATGTGTTACTGAACAGGCTGAAACCGTAGCATTTTTTTCGGCCATCCACGTGCGGTCGTTACAAGTGTCTCGGAATGCAAATAAACGAGTTACCGCCGAGCTGGCAATGCATCTTTTATGTCTGCCATTAAACCTGCTAACTGGTATGTCATTCTGTTTGGAAGCATAAATATTAAAACGACGACTAATTGTCAGGACAGTTTTTCGCATTTCCTTTTTATTTGTAAATTAACAATCACTAGATTGCGTTTCAATTATGCCTGACTTGCACAATTTTTCGATTTTCCAAGCTAACGAGCAATCTGCTGTCGAAGGTTTCAAAGGGGGGTACCGAACGCATCCTTCAAGGTGTTCAATGTTTAGTGTTTTGTGTCTGCTATCTGCTTGGCTTACATCTTCAATTTCCGTTGCGCATTCGCGCGTACTCACTGTCATTCGCTAGCTGGCTGGCTGGATGGGAGTGTGTTGTTTTGTCGCTTTTTCTTGGCGCATAAAAAACCCAGAAAATTACAACTTATTGAGTTGCAAAGCGCGCTGGAAACCACACACCGAAGAACCAGCAAAAAATAAGCAAAACACACACAGACGTTAACCCGAGCAGACATACCGTGCCCCCGGGAGTATGCTACGTTTTTTGCCAGCTTCCAAATGGGGGATGGTCAGGCAATTGGACACTGAGAAGTAAATGGGGGGTTCTGGCAGCCACCCAAGGGATCTCTTGGCTTTGGTACACTTTAATAATATTCAAAATAACATGCTTTAAAAATCTATAGAAATATTCCGCTTTAAAATCGACAATAAATGCATGCATTCACAGTAATTTGAGTACTAAAAATATTAAACACTTTAAAAATGTTTTTAAAGAGTATGAAGAAATCTCATGCTTTAATGAAAGAAAATAGTAAAAAACTCTTTATTTTTCTCCCTTCCTAAACCCACAAAGAATTACCTAAGTTATTTTCCTCCGTGTTCCTTTCCCATTTGCATGCTCTGTGCGAAAAAGCATCTGCACCTATCTGTGGCCCATGGTCGAGCGCTACTTTAATTCATCTGTTAGCATTTTACGAGCCACCCGCGCCGCGACACCACCCACTAGCCCACCCACCCCTAAGACCACCATCGAACATCCAGCACCCACCACCTACCGCCGCTCCTACCAGGGCCAATCACAGTGGGTCAACAGACAGCAGACAGCTGTAGTTGAACGAAAAGCCGCAGTCGTGGCCGCCAACACGTGCATACATGTATTTGGCTGTGGGTTTGCGGGTGTTGGCGAGTGTGTGAGCGAGGTCCTTGGTCTCCATCTGTTTATTGCAAGGATATGAAACTGCTATATGGACCTGTGGCGTTGCCAGACTTGTTGATCATTGCGTCACGGCATTTTGCAAGTAATTTCAACTCGCTTAGCATTATATTTGAAGTAATGGTTTTGTAGCTTATCGATTTACGCTTCAATGGGGGGACCGTACCAAAAATGGAATATTAAATGAGATACCTGGGGGGATTATAAAGGTTATGGAGGGTCATACTTTAAATTCTTATGATAATGATGGCGGTAATTTCCCTTTAGCATTGAAATAGAAGAGTGTTCTTAAAATAAGTGGTTCTTATGATGGAAATGTCTTAAATTAAATTTCTATATGAAGGAACAATTATCATATTTTAATAAATTTATAAATTAAAAATGTTATTTTATTTCAGAAAAAGTTTTAAATTTTATTAAATCGCTAAAAACAATTATTTACCAATTCCCTGGGCTCAAATTTCACTCCTTTCTGGTCAGACTTTGAGCCACTGCCTTATTAGCGCTATGGCTACTACTATTTCACGCACAGCTAACTGCGAAATCTACTACGTTTTTAGCTAGCTGTTGCTGCCGCTGCTCCTTGCAACACGTTGCCATTAATACGTACTTCCCTTGACACTTGTGAGCCAATAAACTTGAAAAAAGAGCAACAGTTGCCGCACACAGACACAGGCACACATTCGGTTTTGTTGCGCGTGTGTGTGTGTGTGTTACCCGAAGTAGTGCCGAATGGCCGAATTGTGCGAGGCTGGCATTCCTAAAAGTCCTGGCAGTCCTGGCCGCTCATAACGCAGATGTCCTTTGCCGTGCTCGGTTCGCACGCAGCGCTCGGCTCTCTTTCTCGCCCTCTCTCTGTTTGTGTGTGGAAATTCGCTCGGTTCGGTTTTTGTAGACGCGCCGGCATTTCAAGTCACCAAAGTCATTCAAAAAGGAGCTGCTCCTTTTACGCTTCTCCCTTGGCTTGCTTAATACGCACGCACGGCTGATATGTTAATTCCGTTCTTTGGCATCACTTAGGAAACAATTAGCGCGTTAGTTTTCAGGCCGCCCTTCCCCGCCACACCCGTGCAAAGAACTCCCATCGTCATCGACTAGGGGAGCGCCTGAAGAGGAGGCAAGTGAAAAGTTTTAATTGTCTGCACATTTTCATTGGAAAAGTTTGTTGCCTTCACGCACTTAATATTCATGTGGCTCTGGGTATATGAATTTACGACCATAATCATAATCATTTCTTGCCTTTTGTCCCTGCCATTTGCATTTATGCTACGCTGGTATCCTTCTCACACAACAAGAAATAAATGATTGATTATATATTTGACCAATTTCATTATGAATAAAATCACAGGCCAAATATTGCTTTTCGAAATGTGAATAATGTGTCAGAATGAGTCAGTGAATAATCTATAAAAGACATGTGAAAGGCCTCTTAAAGTTAATATGTTGAATGAGTCAGTGAATAATTAGCATTTTACATAGATATTTCATATAATAAAAAGTGCTATTAACTCATATGGAAAAAGGGATTCTTTAAATCCCAAAGGGCTTTTCCCACTGTGTAACTATTTATGTATTTTTTGTCTGTGTGTTTGCCTGTTCTGATTAAAATCGCCTGATGAGTTTCAGATGCTGTCTGCCCCATGTTATTTTTTCCCCGACTCAGTCTTGCGGCAAATGGTTCCCATTGTGTTTGCTTTATTTATATTACTCTTCGTTTTGCGGATATTTGCATTATTTACTTTCGAGGAAGTGCAATTCCCTTCGGACTCTGAAAAGTCCAACTTAACATATTTTCCACTTTTCCAATGAAAAAAGTTTTTAAAGTTTACATCTGCTTTAATCGTTTCCTTTTAAATTAAACCAACTTTAATTCTCTGTAATAAATTTACAGAAGTGAAAAAGAAAAATTTTTGTAGAAACCCAAAAAGAGGACCAATGTGAAATGTGTTGTCCTTCTACTTGGAAATTTCTATGAGATTTCTTGAAATTCCTGTGACTTGGGAAAGTCATCAGCTGTTCTTGGGGGCAGCTTTTATTAGCCAGCAATGGAAGCCTTTTAAATTTTGTATCCCCATCAGTTCCATTGGGTTGTCGTGTGCTCCATAAATTATTCAGACTATTTGATTTCTTCATTGTCTCTAGCTGGGCATTTTTGTTTAATGATTTTTGGAAGACCTAAAAGGGATTTTCTTTGGTTATTAAATAATTTCATTTCGTATTTGAAAAAGTGGCCAAGGGGTGGAATTGGAATTATTACTTCCTGGAATGTGCAGCTTTTATGCAAGAAATCCATTTGATATTTCTTTTGGAATTTTCTACAAGGACTTGAATTTAATAGAATTCTGTTTTATTTTTGAATGCGATAAACTTAAAGAAGATTTATTTCAAACATTTTGCAACAGTTAAATTAAAATAATTGCTTGTACTTTGGTCCACATGATACGACATGGTACAAAGTTCAATAGAACTCCTACGAACGCCATGCCATTGCCTGCCAAACGTATTATTAATGCTGCATTGAGTCTAATTGAAAATTGGAAATGGAATTATCTAATATCATTTGGCAAAGTTTACTAATTAACAATACAGAAAAGCACACATTTCCCTCTGATGCAGAGCTATTGAGAGTGATTTGCCTAGGGCAAATCAAAATTGAAGAGATCGTCTGGCTTTTGTTGGCATTTGTACTTTAATGGCTGATTTATTTTAATTACAATTTGCACTTAATAATGATTAATCTGCTTGCCACGACACGCCCATGCAAAATAGACTGGGCCGAGCCCAACAATTTCACCGAAAATACATATATATGTAGAACAAAGTTCATTTGCAACGCCATCGATTTTCACATTAATTAAGCCCTAATTACTATAGCACTGAGTCTTGCGGGCCTACAAAATGAAGTCACACTAGACAAATGAATTTCACCGGTAGCACCGCATTCCCAGCAGTGAAGCTGAATACACATTTCATGGCGAAGGGAGCTCGGTTTTATTAATTCCCACCTGGGGAAGGGACGACTCGCTGTGGCTCCTTTATGCCGTGCTCCCAGCTTTCACTCAAAACGAAGCCATAGATGAGATGCTAGGACCAAACCACATTCCCAGCGAAAAAGCAAAAACTCCGGCCATGAGGTGGGGTGAAGAGGGAGCAATAAATTGACTGACTCTGGCGAACCATTTGATAGTCAACCGTAAACTGAAAAAATATATACATATATATATAGTATATTTTTTTCCTGGACAGATTCCATTTGCAAATCTATTTTAGTGTTAATTACACGTGCAACATAAACTGCAAAGGCGAAACTTTTACGGCCCGGCTGGAGTAAAACTAAAAGTTTAAAAATAAACTACCGCATGGGTTTATGGCTGGGTGTTCTGGGGTGTGAATAAAAAGAGCATTAAATTAGATTAAAATGGAAGCTCACTGGCTTGTTGTTATTTCAAAACTCTCACCAAAGTCTACATGGCTTATGCTTGGTATGACGATAACTTTTCATAAACCAAATTCACATTTATTTTATTCAATGTTTGTATATTTTTTTTTTAAGGCGTTTCATATTTTGTTTTTAATTTCCGCCGCTGGAATATGTATATGCTTGTTTGCACGAAAAAAATCTGAGAGGAAGCCAAAGGAAATCAAAGGAATGCCTGCCAGTGTATTTAAATTTATGCCAGGGAGCTTTAGCTAGACTTCGTCATGCATTAAGCAGGCAAAAATTGCGTATACGCCGCGTGGCGGCTTGATATGCCTGCCATGCAAATGTTACGATGCTCTCATCGAGATTCTGGCCGCAAAGCAAACAATTTTTTAAAGCCAGCGCCAAGTCAACTGTTT